AAACATAGACATCCTTCAAGATGCACACGTCCATGCAGTTTGCAATGCAGTTCTCAAGCAAAGTAATGTGCACAGAAATGCATGTATTAGGGTGAAGTGTGCATATAAATGCACAGGTACATTTGTCAAAATTGCATGTTAAGAATGTGTGTTTTTTAGAAGAAATATGCATTAAAATGCTGGCAAAAAATTAATTGCAAATTGCAGTAGAAGTGAATATAAGATTTGTACAAAACAGAAACTAAGTGACCCCAAATTAACAGATTTGTCCATCCTTACTTATCTGTATGTTTATATCAACATTGTATGTTTTTATATCATTTTATGCATCAATACATTATATACACTATTTCTTAAATAATCCTACCTTTGAGAGTTCCCAGTGTCAGCAAAGAAACATTTAATTGCTGAAGGCACCTGATCTGTATATAGATAGATAACACCTTTGGTTTCTGTCTAGAAAGAGAGAGAATGGGACAGAAAAATCAAGTGCTCCTCAAGCTATTATCCATTGCTATTACTGTCTGCAGGAGACAGTACTTCTTATAGGAGTATAAGAAGCTGACTTATTCCTTGAGCAGGCACTTCTCTACATGGCAACAAAATTTTCAGTTCAAATCCACAAAGCAGGGTGCCAGGAGTCAAAATATGAGTATCTTGCTTTCTCCCAATGGCTACTGATGTCCCTTTGCCTTTATCAGTTTGGAAAAGGAGTTTTTTTGGGGGGCGTTGGGGGGGATCCCATACCCTCCAACATTTCTCCAGTGAAAATAGGGATGGCCTTTTCTATTTTATTATTAATTATTATATTTATACCCCGCCCATCTGACTGGGTTGCCCCAGCTACTCGGGGCGGCTTCCAACATATATAAAAACATAAACATTCAAAAACTTCCCTATACAGGGCTGCCTTCAGATGTCTTCTAAAGGTTGTATAGTTTCTTAGCTCTTTGGCTGAGGGGTCGTGCAACTCCATACCCTCCAACATTTCTCTGAAGAAAATAGGGATGTCCTAAGGAAAAGCAGGACAGTCCAGGATCAAATCAGAAACTGGGATGGCTTCTGTAAATCCTGGACTGTCCCTGCAAAATAGGGATCCTGGCCAGGAGCCGGCAGTCAGAATGGGTGTCAGGAGAGACTCCTTATATCTTTGCTTGCCTTGGAGTCATGGGACTGTGTGTTTGTGCTCACCTTGTACCTGGCAGTAAAGTTTGAGTGAAATCTATTGCTTTAATTTGAAGCAAATAGTTAAAATGCAATAAAAAGAAGTGTGTGTGTGTGTGTGTGTGTGTGTTTCACTTTCCAATGTGTTGCTAATGGGAATCCATCAATCACAGCAGGAAATGTCTTGTGTGGCTGCCACCCCCAAGAGCCCCTCCTTGCTGGGGGTTGGACAAGATGGCCCTTAGGGTCCCTTCCAACTCTACAGTTCTGTGGTTCTGAGAGTCAGACCATTGGTCCATCTAGCTGAGTATTGTCTACACTGATTGGCTGCAGCTCTCAGGTGATTTCAGGTAGAATTCTCTCCTAGCCATATGTGGGGATGCCAGAGATTGAACCAAATACCTTTTGCCTGCAGAGCAAATGCGCTACCACAGCGCTATGGCCCTTCCAAAGATTTCAAAGGATATTCAATTTGACAGCAGTTATTGATTCAGTTGGCTTGTGTGAAAAAAGACTGTCTCAGGCCACAGCCTGCATAAAGTCAACCCACACCTTTCAAATAAATTAAGACCCTGGAATTTTTCTTTGTGCTTTGCTTCCAAGGGCATATTCACACTACATTTACTGAACCACATATTCTGATACAGTAATTAAAAAATAAAATGATAGGAGGCCAGAAGAAAATGTCACAACTTTCTGATATTCACTAGCAAAGCTCAAAGTGAACCAACCACACTCTGAAAACAGACAAATGTCATAATTATTTAAATCAGTTCCAATCAGTTGTTGAAGGACAACATTAATCAAGACTGATTTTCCTATAATCATAACAGCCTGTTTAAAATACTGATAACTTCCTAGGAAACTTGAGCTCAACTGAGTGTCCTTAGTAAAGGATCACACTTCATTATAATTTCCATTAATTAAGGATTCCTTAATTGCTCCTGGCTTGATGTAAGTGATAAGACAAGCATTATGCCTGAATTATTTCTGTAATTCAGTAACACAGTATCATTTTTTTCTTACCTCAGTCAGGTTCCAAGAAACTTGGGGCATGCTCAGATTCTGCATGGTGGCGAGATAAAAGGCTGTACTCGTGTCCAAGATAGATAATCTAATCAGTGGGCGTAATGAAATCACATGGAAAGTGTTTGGAATGGCCCTGCAGGATAAAAGAGAGGTTTCTGAAAAAGAAATATCTTCCTTGCAATAGACAAAGATGACATGTTCAATCTAATCACAGCTTCCTGAGTTTTCCCTCATTGAAAAGAAAACACACATAGAGAGAAATATATAAGAAAAACAGGCGGGGACCCTATTGAAGACAAAATTACTCAGCATATAGAAAAAGAAGGCCTGATGAAAGAAGACTAGCGTGACTTCTACAAACTGCAGCATGATGACAATTTTACAATTTTATTATATACGGTACTAAGAAAAGTTCATACACAATACATGGTCTTGTAAAATGTGATTTTTAAAATAGGGGGAAGCAGAGGAAAGAAGGCAAAATAGATCTCCTACTCACAAACAAAACTCTGAGGAGCTAGGTATTAGGGTTAAAACAAATGAAATGTTTTAGAGCAGTAGAGATTATTTTTAAACACTCCCATTGTATTTGTTTCAAAATTGCCTTTCATCTTCTCTTAATGGTTCTAAAATCTTATAGCAGAAACTGGCTTTGCACAGCACGGATTGCTTGGTGTCCATTTGATCAGGATCCCACACCACAGAGGGCAGAATCAGCTATAAATCCTCAGTTCAGATTATCTCTCTTCACCCAAAACTACGAATCTGGAGTTCAAACTATCTGTTGCCTAACTAACAACCGGGATGGGTTCTGCCCTTCATCTAAAAAAGAGAATTTGGTATTTTTTCCAGTATGAACTTACCGGAAATATTTTTTTGCTGCTAGCTGAGGAAAGAAATTTCGGCTATAATCAGGTAAGAAAATTTCATCTCCTGTTGCAATGATTATGTACACAAACTTGTTTAAGTATCGCTCATTATATGCTGGGGATGGAAAAATAAATGTTATAGTAATGGGCAAAACATGCAATTCTCAAGTAATTACTACTTGTTTTATCATAAATCATCATAAAAAGATAACAGGATTGCACAGGAGTAATGGGAAATAATAGGAACAGAGTAAGGACCACAAAGCCCTAAACAGGTGTATATGTTCAGGGGACAGGATACAGAGATGTGGAAGGTGTGGAAATTGCTGCAGTTCGTATGTCTGTTTGGCTTCTTTATTACTTATTGAATTTATATACCGCCCTATACCCTGAGGTCTGAAACCTAAATCAGTCAAGTGAATGCAATTGGTATATTGTTTGTTTCCCAATTAAAATTAATAAGTTTGATACTTCCTTTGCACAGTTTGATTCTTTCTTTATGTATTTATTTTAACTGTTTAGCTAAATTTGTATACCTCTTAACTGCAAAAAAAAAAAATGAACAAAAAAACCCACTGTGATTGCTGTAGTTTAATGATGCTAGTAGCTGAATGATGCAGGAAGAAGGATAGAGAAGGAAGGGGAAGGGGACAAAGGGGGGATGCTGAAAGCTTGGGGGGCATGTATTTAAAGGAGGTTGCTGAAGGAAAGTATGCGAAAGGCTCTAATCAGTGAACAGTTTGATTGCATAGTTGAATGACAAAATAATGGATCTAGCCCTAAAGAAGCCAACCTCCTTCCAAATAATGTGTCCCATCCCTCCACTGTTCCCCTCTCCCCAAAAGGTAGGGTGGGTGTCACCAGCGTTTGTCCATCACATTCAGTGCTTTTCCCCCTAGAAAAATAGATGCCGGTACTCACCATGAAGTTGTTACAGTACATATCACACTTTTTAACAAAGAGGGGGGTGCTGGTACTGTGTACCCTTGAGTACCTCCTGAAAAATAGCACTGATCATGTCTGATTTCCTCTTGATGAGGCTGGTGGCAACCTTCAAAAGTCAGCAGAAGGATGGACTCTTTCCTTTCCCCTGCACTTGGTACTGTATTTGGCATGTTGGTGGTCTCTGCTTAGAATACTGTCAGTGAATACGGGTGTGTGGGAGATGTGGGGGTTTCATCTGAATGGGCTGTAGGAAGTGTGTGGGTCACATCTGAATGCAGATCTGGACCATCTTGTAGGCAGCCATTTCCATGTTTGCCTGCTTGGAAAGTAAGATGGGTCCAAGGGTGGGAAGAAGAGGTTGGCAGAGGTTTGTGGCTGAGGGCATAGCTGTCAAGTGTCCCTTATTTGAAGGGACAGTCCCTTATTCCAGTGCCATGTCCCTTATTGATGGATGTCCCTTAAATGATGTCCCTTAAATTTCAAAGGAAACAGCTCCTCTCCCTCCCTCCCTCCCTCCCTGCCGGCCAGGGAGGAGGGAGGCTCCAACTGTGTTGCTTGGCTGTGTTGCTCACCCAATAAGAAGTCTAAGAACGACTGGGGGGTGGAGCTTGCATGCCTTGTGTGTGGCTAGTTAATGCAAGCTGAGGGGGTTTTTGAATGCTGGACGCCATTTTGTTGCACGTGCTGCTGCAAACTTTGCAGTGCAAAGCCAGGCTGGAGAGCCATCTTAAGTTGAGGCTGCATAGGCCTTGTGGTGCATGTGATTCAGATTCTATTCAGTTGAACCTCTGGTTACAAAGTTGGTTGGACAGTGTTCTCGAAGCTACCAGCATGAGTTTGACCAGACTGCAGGAGGACAGGAAGACTGGAGTGCCTGGAACAGGTGAGGCTGCAGGTCCCTTATTTTGGCTGCTGGTCCCTTATTTTCAAATCTGTAAGTTGACAGCTATGGCTGAGGGGTGGGGAGTGTTGAATGTGAGTAAGGGAGAAGAATCTGCACAATGTCTTCAGCTTCATGATTTATCTTTCCCATTTAATTTTAACATTTCTCTTCCCACCCCCTCTGAAAGCTGGATGGCTAATATTGGGACCCTGCAGGGGGACCACTAATTGATGGGCCATTAGCTGCTTCATTTACTCTGAAGGAAGGAAGAATGGCGACCCACTAAGAACATTTAGATACTTTAAAAGTGTGAAAGACTGTGGTCTTAATTGACCATAACAGGCACTCTATCAGGAAAAGCATAGAATACACTGAAATAAATGGTGTGAAATCATGTAGCAATAGTGACAATAATTACAACAAAAATATGAAAAAAATTCACCATAGTAGACAACAAAAGAAATAATTATGTATTTGGTGGAATCTGACTTGCAAAAGAACAGAATTGGCTCTGGTTTTATAGATACAGAACAGACGGGACATTGCTAACTTCATTCTTCCCTAGCAGGATGGAACAAAGACATGACTGAAACCATAGAGCAAAGCAATGTTGAAAAGGAAGCCATTCTGTAGCATATATGCTGTTTGGCCATTTGCATCTTTGGTATTATGTTCCCCAGGTCATCAAGGAAGCAATAGGAGGGTTCCCCAGATCTGCACAGACTGAATGCCTCAAGCAATCATCAGTTTGGCTTTCCAGTCCTACCAGCAGACAACCGAGCAAATCCACTAGAAGAATGTGACTTCTCCCCTTCTCCTTCTCTCATTTGCCCCAAATTGGTTCATGGGGGTTGGGATAACCCCTGGAATAGCACACAAGGGGGGGACAAGGCAGCTCATTCCATTAGACAAGCAGCAATGGATCAATCAGTACCCTTTTCTACTTCCCTCTATGAAACCATCCATTGGCCCCCATTAATCTGGTCCTTTCTCATCTATGGCCATGTCAGCAATCCATGGGAGCCTGGCCTACGACTATTCCTTTATGATGCATACAGGCATTTTTAGGAATGGGGAAAATCTGCTCCTTAACTCCCTGCATGATGACCTCCTTTTCCCTGGGGATGTTTTCCCCACCAATGAGTAGCGATTCTTTTCCTAGCGCTTCATTTATCAGAAAAGTCTGAGAAGGTAAGAACTGCTCACCATAAGGATCAACATATGAATTTAGATTCTCGAATCGTGTAGTGTCTATCTGCCGAGTTAAATTCAGATCATATTCAGGCTCCATGGTATATGACCAGCCACAGTATGCTCGGTATTGATGGTGCAAGTTCTACAGCAAAACAGACAGAAGTGAGTTCTGTGTACACCTATGACTTCACACATAGCACATGTCATATCTTAAGAACTTGAAGTCCTATCAAATGGAGGACAGTCACGAGATCTAGCAGGGCCAAGCTGATAAAATTCCAAACAAGACATGCAATTACATTATAGCAGCAACATTCATTATGAGGTCTACCTGAAACTTCTACTGATATCTTTGAGGTGCTATGTAAAAGCTTACCCTCTTTTAGTGTACTAAAATTTTGTTTGCTGTATATGGGCTCCCTAACATTTCTATCACTGTTATGGAGGGGTTGTTCCATGTATACTTTATGCATTTTATGTTGTTGTGTAAATGTGTTTATATTTTAATGTATTTTACGTACGCTTTTAAATATGCTACAAATGGCTCGGAGACTTTTTATGTATCTAGTGACCAAGAGCTCATCCACACTTACCTTTTGCCTTGTGCTTTCTAGTCATAGGTCCATGCTATAAAGTGCCTGAGCACTTCCCCCGCCCCCCCCCACGAAAACCCACTCTTTAATGCTGAATCAGGACAAACAGCAATTTGGGTTTTCTGTGGATTGGCATTTGCTTCAATTCAGTAGTAAAAAAAGGGTTTTCCCAGGGAAGTTTGGGGCAAAAAAAGAAGGATGAAAAGTGCTTGCACATGGTGCTTTAAAGACTGCACCTGTACCTAGAAAAATGGCACAAAAGGAAGTCTGGATGAGCCCCAACAAATCTCTATATTAGTTTATCTCATGGCTTTCTGGTTATTTATTTGGGTTAAGTTGACAACTACCTCTTTCCATCCCACTGATAGGCCAGAATATTCAGAAAATTTCAGTATGACATCTTAATGTGGATATTTGTACCCAGGGCTCTCAAGTGGATGCCATTGCCATTTTAAGAGACCAAAGGAGGCATTCATGGTGAATTTCAGCATCTCTTTTTCTAGAAAAATAGCACTGTTTGTACCTAACCTGCTGGTCATTGTACTCAGCTTTGTCTACATGGCATCTCCCTGACATTTATTGTGTAGCCATTCTTACTATTGTTGGATTGTACACAATCCCTGTTGCTCTAATTCTTGAAACCACCCAGGTCACCCTGCATAATAGCCAGGATTGTGGAATTTAATTTTCTAATTCCACAATCATGGCTATTGTGGAAAGTTTTCTTCCTCCCCTCGCTCAGTAACCTGATGTCTGAGTTCATGAAGCAATGTTTGGGGTCAGATGATTTGAGGGACAGTCTTCACTCATGAGTCTGCCCATCTCCTAAAATTATTGAAGGCCTTACTTGCTGTCCCTTTGTCTTCAGCAGTGTGGTTGATGAGGACACAGGACAGGGCCTTTTCAATAGCGATGCACCGTGCTGAGAATGTGGAGTACCCTTCCTCAGGTGTATGGTTCTCTCTCTCTCTCTCTCTCTCTCTTAGCCTTCTAGTAAATATATTTTAATTTTTCCAGATTTGGGAGAAAGCTGCATTTTGCTGTTTTTGAACCCCCAGTTCTTTGGGAAAATATTCTGATTGTCTTGTATTTATCTATATTTATACTTATCTAGAAATCTAGTTCAGGGCCACATTAGGGGCTTTTTATTAGACAGGTAGGGTACATTCCTTATAAATAGTGTGTGTGTGTGTGTGTGTGTGTGTGTGTGTGTGTGTGTGTAGTCTTCAAGATCTCTATAAGCTTCAGCCTGCAGCTGAGTTAGAGGTTGTGAAGGGTATCCTACACAGCCTATCAAATGTAAGGGACTGCATTGATTTTTCTTGTGTTTTAATGCTGCTTTGTGAGCATCCTTGGACATTTTATTATTTTATTTATTTTTCTTTTCAGGAGACCCCCATTCCCCCCACAGAACATTTTATTGAAAAGGTGGTATATACATGAACGAACAGTGAAGTTGCCCAGGGTAGCATAATCTCTGCATCTGAAGTCAATACTATTGGCATGTTATTAGGAAGAACTATGCCGTTCTCTACTCTTCCCTACTGTGAAGAAACTGGATTCTCACCTTAATGATATTCAAAAGATCAAATACAAGTGGAGTAAAGGACACAACTCTTCCATCCACGGCTGCCGCAAGCCAGGCAGTCCAGCCACGCTGCCATAAGGAGAGAAAAAAATGAGGTTGCAAAGGTGCACTGGGAGCCGGAGAATGGCAAGCGCAGAAGAAGCAAAAAGAAAACAATGTACAGGAAATGTCAAAGGAGCACAGACCTGCACTTCATACATACCTTAGAAGCACCTATCAAAGAGAACTTTGTGATGTTCATCATCCCACCAGATTCTTTCAGTAGTAAATCTGTTACAGTGTCCATGGCCCGTACAGCAGCCTGTACACAAGAGAAAAGGATTACATCCTCTGGAATTCAAAGGAGTTAGTTGTTGGCATGGCATAATGACAATGCCATCACCAGAAGGTTTGTCTTAATGGGCCTTAAGAGCCTTAATGGAGCCCCATGCTAATCTGCAAAATACTGAGGGTGCACACAGTGTATTAATGTGAGAAACAGTACTCATCACCAACTGATGAGTAATTCTAAAAACAGAATGAATAAATCTCACTGATTGGTAACTTGGAAACTACAACTAACCCAGAATGTGGCTTCCAGACTGGTGAGTGGGAGGGGCCACCAGGACCATATAACGGCCGTCGTAAAAGATCTGTGTTGGCTTCCAGTACATTTCAAAGCACAATTCAAAGTGTTCACACTGGCCTTTAAACAGCTTCGGCCCTATATATCCCCCATCATTCAGCCCAGACACTAAGATCCAGCTTCTGGTGGTTCCCTCGTTGCAAGAAGTGAAGTTACAGGGAACCAGACAGAAGGCCTTCTTGGTAGCCGGACCCATCCTGTGGAATGTCCTCCCATTAGATGTCAAGAAAATAAACATCTATCTGACTTTTAGAAGATATCTGAAAGGTGCACAGGGGAGTTTTTAATGTCTGATATTTTACTGTGGTTTTATAACTTGTTGGAAGCCAACCATAGTGGCTGGAGCAACCCAGTCAGATGGACAGCAATAATAATAATAATAATAATAATAATAGTCACTGTTTAGTTTTTTCTTCTGTTCTGTTTCTGGGGTTTTTTATAGTTAGGAATGGACAGGTTTTAATAGCCACATCCCTTAACACACACAACAAAGGTTTTTTGGAGAAAGTTTCTTCCTTTGTTTGAACTCCATGGATCTTACCTCTGACTAGACAGGTATTGAAATCAACTGCAATTCATGCCATTGTATACAGTGCTCATGTTCCATAATACTGTATGTCAATAGCTCAGGATTCTTGTCCACAAACAGTCTACTCAAGTTACAGTGGTGCCTCGCAAGACGAAATTAATTCGTTCCGCGAGTTTTGTCGTCTTGCGATTTTTTTCGTCTTGCGAAGCACAGTGTCGGGAAAGTTTTGGAAAAGCTTCAAAAATCACCAAAGTCTTTAAAAACCTCAAAAAAGGCTACCACACCGCGTTCTATGAGTTGCTCCTCGAGGTCAAGTCACAACTGTATTAACGGAGTTAAGAGAAAGGAAACAAACTTGCAAGACGTTTCCGTCTTGCGAAGCAAGCCCATAGCGAAAATCGTCTTGCGAAGCAGCTCAAAAAACAAAAAACCCTTTCGTCTAGCGAGTTTTTTGTCTTGCGAGGCATTCGTCTTGCAAGGTACCACTTTATAGAAAATAATTTAATTTACATGTTCTGAAAAGAAATCTAGACTTTCTTCAGCCATTCTAAAATATTATCATTCAATGAAACTGAAAGAAATTTTAAGGGGGGCTTTTTATACTAACAGAAAAAGCACACTTTAAAATACAGTGGTACCTTGGTTTACGAACTTAATCTGTTCCGGAAGTTCTTTCTTAAACCAAAACGTTATTAAACCAAGGTGTGCTTTCCCATAGCAGTGGAGGACTCAATTTACAAATGGAACACACTCAACAGGAAGCGGAACATGTTCTGCTTCCAAGGCAAAGTTCACAAACCAAAACACCTACTTCTGGGTTTGCAGCGTTCTTCATCCAAGTTGTTCATAAACTAAGCTGTTCTTAAACCAAGGTACCACTGTATTGGTATAAGCCCTGGCAGTCAAGCTGGTAGAATTGCTGTGAAAACCATGAAGTAGAAATTTTGCGCTACCACCCCATCCAGATGATAGCACTGATGGCCGGAAACAACAAAGAACATGCTCTATAATGATGAAAGTGTCTGTTTGCTAGCCAATCCAGGAAGGACAAAGAAGCCAGAGTTACCTTGACCATTGGGAACAAAATCAGCACATCTGGCCCTGCAGTCTCATCGTTCATGAACTTCCACCATGAGCAAAACAGTTCATCATTTTCCAAGCTGTTCTTGCATCTTTCGATGGGGTATTTCTAGAGGCAAAGTGGATGAAACATTAATGGGTTTTTTATTGAGCCCAGCGTTCCCAAACATGTTACCCACCCTTTAAATGATCTGTATTTCTTTGATTTACACACATCTTTGAGATACAGTGCTAGGGACAATTTATTTTAATTCTAGTATTTTGAACACTTTTGCAAATGGAATGGCAATTTCTTCTCAGAAATTTACACTTTGTTATAAAGAATAGTTCTTGAACAAACTGTAGACTTCTATTGGATTTTGCTCTGTGAAAGTAAATGCCCTCCTCAATAGAGTGTTTTAGGAGAAAAAAAATCTGTCATGGAAGCCTCTGGTAGAACAGTGTGCCAGCCAAGTCTTTCCCCAGCTACACAAAAACCAAAACACTGCTATCCATCAAAATTCACACTTTTCTGAATTGTGTGCAAGATGACAGACACTCACTGTCTGTACTTTTTGGAAACAAAGACATTATTTTGGATTGGATTGTGTGTTTAAATGCATCTGCTGTTCTCTGTATTGCTTTAAACTGTTTTTAGCATATTTTTTATAAACTGTGTTGAGATCATGCATGAAAAGCAATTAATACTAAATACTTTATTAGTGGAAATAGCATACAAAATGCATAACACTGAGGATTGAGGGCTTTCAATAATGTGTGCATTACATGAAATTTCATACAAGAATGTGTACATCAGGATAAATTTGCAATAAAATGCTGGTGAAATTTCATGAGACTTAAAAAAAAAACCACAGCAACAACTAAACCACAAAATGATGTGGAAAAATGAATTTAAGAAAAAATGAAAAACGGAGAGAAACCACAATTCAAAGATTTGCCCTCCCCTTTCACCCAACAAATTCATTCTGTGAAACTCTTAGATGAGAATTTAGAAAAGGGTTTGGGGAGTTCCCAGTATGGGGGGGGTGGGGGGGAATCAAACAGGACTTACACGATAGGTGATTGGCTGGTTTGGGATCTGCTGCACAAGAGCTGCACAACTTCAGAGACAAAGCAAAGTATTAGTCAACAGTTTCAGTTCTACAAAGGCAGTGAAAGTGATTCATGCTTCTTGAAAAAGAACATCAACCCAAGCAAATGCCTCTACAGTCTACAGACGTGATGTCAAAGATACCAGAGTCAGCAGTTCCAGGCAGCTTATGGCCTAGTCATGAAATCAAGGCACACTCTATATTACACTCTGCACAGAGGACGCAGAGATTATATGAATATGCTGTTATGTTGGCGCTGTTTTAATTGACAGTAAATCATAGTCATCAGAGTTTCTTAAAGGATTTTAATGTGATAGAATGAACATAGAGAAACTTTCTTGAATACAGTGAATTGGGTTAGATCACCTTTAGACTATTAACTTTATTTTTATTATCTAGCCATTTAGCACTCAATATTTTCTCCTCCAGTTGCACTCACAGGCTGCAAACATATCACACCTCAAGCATATTTGTCTTTAATGGTAGGGATATTTAAAATATATCTTGTTACGGCATTAACTTACTAGCCTGCATTGCTGTTTGCTGTGCCCTTGTCTCTCTGTCAACATGCACATAAAAATTTAGGCGTACTATTCATAATGCATTGCCAATGTAACTCCATTACTTCACACTTAAGATGCTACTTTCTCCTCCTCACAGCAGTAATTCAGGAGACATTGTGACGTACGCAGGCAGACAATAAAACACCTCTGTATGGTTTCATCACCAAAGGAAACATTTGCTACAAAAACACCCTCAGAGATGCTTTCAGACATTTGTATTGTGCTTCTGTCCAGTTCTCAGTAGGGATGGCACCAACTGCAACATTTGGCTCATATCTTGATCTAGTTCTTCAGAAAACTGCCCACTGCAATCCAAGGCATTTCTTAAACTGCCTAATTTAGCTCAGGGTCCATCTAGTTCCAGTTTGTTTGCTCTCCCTGTCCCTTTTCCCAACCGAGAAATTTTTTAAATGGGTATAACTTTTATTCTTTTGACAGAAATTTGCAGGAATAAAAGCCCCTCCAAAGTGTGACTTTTAAAAAATGACCGCTCCACACATCAAATGTGGTCGCGCGCAGCCCCCTGGATCCCATTGTGGCTCCCGGTAGTTCGGGCTGGCTTCACGCTCCCCAGGCTGGATACCTGGAGGTCTCCGCCTACCTCAGCCAATCGCCCAATCCCGCCTGGGGAAGCATTGCCAGGGGATCAGCCAGGTAAGGGGTCTGCCCTGCCCACACAGCAGAAGGTGAATCTTACCTGTGAAGCGTCAGTTGGCTCCAGAACTTCTCCCACCCTGCCCTCCCTCAGTTAAGTCTTCTTTTGCAGGTTAACCTCTTCTCCACAGGTACGTGGGCGCTGCTACGTCATGGTCGCTGTTGAAGGGCCTGCATGGGCAGGTTTTGCCTTTCCCATAGCAAAACGTCACAACTTTGGCGGTTTCAGGCCTTGGGCAGAATTGTTTAGTCTATCTTCCTAAATGGGGGGGGGGGTGAAGCGGTGACCCACGCCCCCCTTGTGGCGGTGATCCCAGGGTTCCCCATTAAAGGGGTCTTGAGGGGAGGCATTGGCCATACGCCGAGAGGTTGTCATTGCTTTCCCCTGCGATGGTGGCGAAACCGGGGGCGGGCTCTCTGCTTGAACATATGTTCTCCAGAGCCAGCCTAATCCCTACACATTCTAGATAACCCTGATGTCCCCCAGAGCCCCGGCTGGGGACTGGGAAGGATAAATGCCCAATGCCTGAGCCAAGGTCTCTCTACATCTGAAACTTAATAAAGTTGTGGGCAATTTTAATCCCACAGCACGTTGTCTTGAGTCATTATTCCGCTAGGGGGTCGCCTGGGGTTGGGGGAACTCCACCTGTCCATGCAAAAAAAAGGGGGGGTTTCTATAATTTTTTAATTTGTCAACAGAATTAGATGAAATTTGCTGGCAAGGTCGCCACTTCTGAGGGCACCAACACTACCACATTTAAGGAGAATAGGTACATTGGCTTTCCCACATGGCAGCTGTTGTTGTTTTTGGGGTGGGTAAAAAAAGGAATCACTTCATCCAACTAGTGTTTTGTGGACAGTTAGTCTACAAATTGCAATGGAAGAGGTGTCTCTGGGTAAGATACCAGCCAAATATCTGAGAAATAGATCCAGGGATGTTTATATGCTAGGCACCTTTAAACATTGATCTTTCCATTACAACAGAGCTCTGCCTTTGCTTTCAACTCATACTGGTGTTATTATTTATATGATAAGCTTAGAGACATTTAGTTTAGCCTTTAATAGACACTTTCCTGCAGTGTTCTGTCTTTGTATGTCTGAATTGCCAAGGCACTATGAGGCAATTCAGGGGTCCTACTGTTGACATTTGCACCTCACATATGTCTAGCTTCACTTCAGGCAAACCCAGTATCTTCCTGAGACATCCTTCCTGGAATCAGGATTTCTCTGAATCTGATGCATGCCTCTAATTCCCTTCATCACCCCACACCCCAGAAAAGTTTGTTCTAAGGTACAGTCCTCCAGCACGTACAACTGGCTCAGTTCTCTATCCTAGTAGGGCTACTAATTCCCTTAATAGTCTGAACTGAACACAGTAGAACTAATGATATGCGCAGTGACCCTTCACTTTACTTACGACCCAGTAGATGTTGCCGCATTAATGGCATCATCAGGAGTTAAGTCCGGGATATCAAGAGCAATATCATTTCTTCCATTCCCAATCATCAGCAAACATGAGTCCTTTATCCTTTGGTTCTTTGACACAGCAATGGTCATCGTATGCCACCAGATTGATCGGTCCACTTCAGAATCTGAAAACAGATACACAGAACTGATATTTAGTTAATACAAAGGAAAGAGAGAGTTAGCCATGAAGAAACTAAAGCAAGGGCACTAGACGCCCCCTGACAATGATAAAGTTCATTAGGGCACGGATGTTGTTGGACTCCAACTTCTATGAGTCCCAGCAGTTGTAGCCAATGGTCAGGAATGACAGGAGTTGTTATTCAGCAACATCTGGATGGTCACAGGTTTTCCACCCTTAAATTAGGGTCACCATCTTCCCATTCAAGACGTGGTTACTTCTGTCATTGTCCCTCACTCCCAGGTTGGAATTCACACTGGAACTCCTTTCATTTGTGAGACAACTACTGAATTTCCCCCCCAGTTTGTAATTGCCACTCTTGCTGCGCCCCGCTGAGGGCTGTATTAACACCATACATTTAAAGCACAATGAAATAATTTTTCTCCTTCAAAGAGTCCTGGGAACTATAGTTTACCCCTTAAAGAAGTACAATTCCCAGCACCCTTAACAAACTACACTTCCCAGGATTCAGTGGGGTGGTTTGTATTGCTTGTTATTTGTTTTTGTTTTGTAAAGTTCTTGAAGGGTGTGTTTTTGTTTTTGTTTTCAATTAGCAGTATATTATTTTTGCTCCCGTTTTGCCTAATTTATTACAGATGGCATGTGTTCTTTGACAGAGAATTCACTAAGTATTAAGGATGCTTTCACGTGCCCTTTTTGGAAATGAATGAGTTGAAGGATCTCGCAGAGGAGTTGGGCCATTTAGCAAAGAAGACTGAAGAGAGGGCAGCTTTGAGCAAAGACTGTACGCAAGCTAGGATGACCATCAGGAGAACAACTTCCATCTACCCTAAGCTGTGTTACCTCTGGCCACCTCCCCTAAGCAAGCTGAGAGCAGACTGGAAAGACGAGACATTCTCCTTACTTTGCAAGAACTCTCCAATATTTATGGCTGTTTAAAATGCATATATTGGATTCCTCTTAGGGTCTCAAAACTGATTCAGTTTCCCCTTCCATAGCTAGCCACAGGGAGACCCAACGATTACCTACTGCTGCTCATGGAATCATAGAATTGCAGAGCTGGAAGGGGCCCTGAGGATAATCTAGACCAACTCCCTGCAATGTTGGAATATGCAGCTGTCCTGTATGGGGATCAAACCTGCAACCTTGGCGTTATCTGCAACACACTCTAACCAACTGAGTTATCCTGGTTTCCTTACCACCCACAGAGCGGATCACACCCACCCAGCAGCCACCTCCCCGGTTTAGGTTCCCTGCCTGCTCCCTCTCATCCTCCGCAAAGAAAAAGGGCACTGCAGAAATGCGTTCCTCCGTATTTCAAAACTGCTGCTCTCACCATTCTGCCACTTCAAGGAGGTCATGTTGACGGTATAGACGGTCACGACAGGCCTATCTTCCTTCTTTGTGACAGTGTAGTTGTAGTGAGGGTCATACTGCTTGACGTAGTCATCCAGGGCCGTCTGCGCCCATCCAGAGGGCAGGCCGGCTGCCAGGAGGAGAACAGAGAAAGCAGCATACATGGTCAAGCAAGTATAGTTGCCTTGAAAGAGATACCTGCCTTTGTTCAGCAGCAGTTCTCCCACTTCAGATCACAGTTGCTCCCAGCAGGAAAGTTCCACAAGGCTTGGTAGTGTATGCCAAAGCTTTCATCTAGAGCCGTTCTTTCCATGAATGTCACAACAACTTTCTCCAGTATTTATACAAGTCTCGTAGCAGGGAGGGCCCTGAATCACACGGCCAAGACAGCATTTATGCAGATTTATCTAATGAGCGCAGGAAATAATCCTGACAGTTATTCTTTATTGACTTCCAGTCACAAAGCACCCTCCCACTTATTAACTTCCTGGAGGGTTTGGGACCTTGCCACGCAACTTACAGTATTTCCTTGGCTCAGGGGTTGCATAACTCCATACCCTCCATATATTGCGATTATCTTCCTGATTCTCTTTCTAGTTGCATATTTATTAGTCCCAACAGGAAGAGCTCTGGTTTCAGTTGAACATTAACTTTCAAAATCTTCTGTATCAATGTATGTATTTTTATCCTTTTTTAAAAGCTTTTTCTCCAGATCCACCTTCATGTTCTTGACATTTCCAACATACTGTACACTTGGCACGTTTTTATACATTCTAAATAACTTCTCAGGAGTTAGATACCAACAGTACGTCATTTTGTAAAAAATTCTCTTTTAAATCATAACACAATGTGTATTTTAACCCTTTAGTCCACATATGCTCCCACTGTTCGATCTGTATATTATAACCCATTTTTTGTCAATTTAATAATGCATTCTTTTTCTCGTTCCTCTTCCATTTCAAATTTCTGATTTGTTTGCAGGGAGATTAAATGACATTGCATGAATCAAATGATATCCTACAATTCCCCGTGCAATCCCAATCACTTACAAAGGGTGGAATTTTAATAAAAAACTCTAAGCGGTCCCACAGCACCACCAAATCAGCTGTAATTGTACAACCTGAATTTGCTGGTATGTGATTGAATCTCAAGCCAAAAGCATCAACAGTCTGGAAGCACTCTTAAGTGCACAAAAGCTAGAACAGGGTCTCATGCGTACACCCAAATTTAAGACTGAGGTCACTACCTCATTGCGTATTTAAGTCCAGGTAGGTATAGTCATGTAACAGGATTACTTGCACCTTGGTGTATCCATCCTTAACTGAACACAATGGATTCCCAAATTCTTCATCTACTCGTGATAAAGATTAGAATATAGGTACGGTACTATACCATTAAACATGTGTGGTTCGTATGAGTTTAGGAAACAGTACGAAATAAATTTGTACTTTGCCTCTGAAAAGAATCATGAGATTGTTAAAGAGGTTGGTTGATTGATTTGGAGCCTTTGTATCCTGCTGTTCAGCCAAAAAAGACTCTTAGAGCACATTACATGCACTCAACTAAAACAAGACAGTCCTTTGCCCAAGGCTAGCAGTCTAAAAACTTAACACAGAAGTGAAAAGGATCAAGGGAGAAAACAAACTCAGGTGCCAATTCTTATATAAAGTATAATACTTCTGATGACTAGAAAGCCCAGAAACAGCTCAGGGGCAGACAGGAGGTGTCTGATGGAGCTGTGCTTTCTGCAAAGCTGGTAGAATGAACCCTGCTTCCCATCAGTCCACTGAGGCCGCCTATTCATGCAATGACAGGAACACTCATTTATCAGGCATCTCTTAATATAATGAGCACACATGTCACACTAATTTTTGCAATTGTAATTGTAATTAGATTGGTTGCATTGCATTCCTAATTAAATAATTTGAGTATGGTCTGCATCAAGTGAGAAACAGGAATGAGATGATCTGATTAGCAATGCATAATGAACCGTGGTTGGAGTTTGTGTTTGGACGTGATGTGGGTCAAGCCCTTTTGGAGTATGGCACTCAAAGACCAGTGAGAACGGAATGTGAAGGCAGCATGGAACGACAGTTTAGGGGTGGGGATATTGTAAGTGGACAATCAAATTGTGTGAAGGAGCATTTCCTTTTTATCTATCTCAAATATCCCAACATTCAGCTGCCTTGGATCTCCACAAGTTCTAGTGTTATGAGGGAGAAAATGTTTTGTCTGTGTGAATGCAGCCTCCAGCAGGGGCTGTTGTTGTTGTTGTTGTTATGGAATAGGATGTCCCTATTTTCATCAGAGAACTGTTGGAGGGTATGCAGTTGGTCCCCTGCAAGATAAGGGAGTCAAATGTGTACTAAAGGAAGATAAGGAGACAGCAGAGGTGAATGGTTGTTGGTTTTTGTTGGTTTTTTGTATCTGTCTTCCCAAAGGAAGCTATAAGGCACATCCCTGTGCCTGAACTAACATCTTCAGGAGGAGAGTCTGAGGAACTGAGGCAGATAATGGTAACAAGCAGTGGTGTAACATGGGTGGCCAGTACCCGGGACAAAGCAAGTATTGCGCCCCAAGTATTGCGCCCCATAAACAGTATTGCAGGGGTGAGAGAGAGAGAGAGAAGTGGGGAGAGGGAGAGAGAGTGTAATAGAGTCTCAGTCTGGCAGAGAGGGAAGGCCAGGGCAACGGGAGTATGCCATGCCAAAGGGCTGCTTGCTGTTGAGGGACATCATCGTGGCCAGCAGGATGGGGGGGGGGAGCCAGGCATCCGTGGGAAACACAACACAAAGAGGCAGGAAAAGGCACACAGAGAAACTGCAGCCTCAGCTGCTGCCACCAGCCTTTCAGATTGTTATCTGCACAAAGATGGAAGGACTTATTATTGCCTACAATGGAAGGATGATTATTGAAATTAATGAATTTTGCTAAGATGGCAAAGCTGACATGCTTAATCAGAGAAAAACCACTGACGACATTTATTGATTAGAAACCCCTTATTGGACTTTCTGCACAAAAAGGAAAATGAGCTTTTAAGATCTGGGTTTGAAGACTGAAAAAAGGTTGGTTTATAGAAAGTAGAGGAGTTGCATGTTATTATGGAGTAAGAGTTTTGCATAAGTTTTTTAAGCTGATAGACGGAGATTTGAAGTCTTTTCTTTCTTTCTCTTTCTTTCTTTTAGATTTTATATTAAAATCTAAAATTTTTATTAAATATATTAAAGCTTGTAAAGCTAAAATATATTAAAGCTTGTAAAACAAACAAATCAGAGATAATGCTCAAAATATAGCTGACATCATCTAACCACCTTGCAGGATTAATCAGGATGAATGCTCAACAAACTGGTCATTTGCAAGTAGTGATGGATGACTATGCCACATCCAGTTTTCCCAGTTTCTCGTTTTCCTGTTTTAAGTTCAGCTTTTTACATTTCCATAATTCTATAAACTTTATAATGTCACCTCTTCCTCTGTCCCTTTTGAACAGACTCTGAATGTCTTGTATGCCCCAGAATGTTTCCCAGTGCATAACAAATGCAAATGCTTCCTACTGACATCACCGTCTCATCAATTAAATATTATCTTAAATGAATTAAATGCATGTAAACTCTGTGAAGTGTTTCCTGTAAAGGGATTAGTTGTTCTTGTAAATGAATTGAACCCCCCCCCTTTTTTTTGCATTACAGTAGCACTAATTTGATATGATGACTGAAAAGATGCCGGTTTTATTAGGCAGAATATGACTTCATTAAACCATTTCTTGTCTCCTGAAACTTTTCCTAATTTCCTCTTCTTGAACAGGATTGTTCTGTTTGGTAGCAAATCATACCATTTCCACACTCTGTTTCTTCAAAGTGTGTTGCACTACCACCAAAGACAAGAGTTCAGTACAGGACAAACTGTCACAATGCCAATGAATAAACATGAAGTGGTTTAGATGAGACTCCTTTGTTCTGCATCTCTTTTGATATGCAGCCAGCGATAGATCTTTCATAAAACGAGGCACCTATGTCCAATATATTGGTTCTGTACTCAACTTGTCCCTGTTTAAGTGAATGCTATGCTGTCCAAAAATGACAAAGAAGAATTTAGAAATGTTACACCCACCACACAATGGGCCCATTGAAGTCTCCATTTTCTTTTAGGAGAGGATAAATGATTTTGATGGGCAGAGACTTCAACAGTATATGTGTCTGGGTTTTTGTTTTTGAGATGCATTCTGGGGCAATCAAAATAGCTGCCGCAATGAAAAATGCCTTTGTCATTCTCCAACTATCAGCATTTACTAGAGCAGAGCTTTCCAAACTTTTCATGTTGGTGACACATGTTTTAGATATGCATCATTTCATGACACAGTAATTCAGTTTTACTAGCAAACCAAAGGTTAAACCAGGGGTCAGCAAACTTTTACAGCAGGGGGCCGGTCCACTGTCCCTCAGACCTTGTGGGGGGCCGGACTATATTTTGAAAATAAAAATAAAAATGAACGAATTCCTATGTTCCACAAATAACCCAGAGATGCATTTTAAATAAAAGGACACATTCTACTCATGTAAAAACACGCTGATTCCCAGACTGTCCACGGACCAGATTTAGAAGGCGATTGGGCCAGATCCAGCCCCCGGGCCTTAGTTTGCCTACTCATGGGTTAAACAAACCCCTTTCCAGCCCCGGAGGGAGAGTGGGGAGCATTCATGTGACTCACCTACACACTGCAGCCGACACACTAATGTGGCGACACACAGTTTGTAAAGCCCTGGAGGACTAAATGTTAACTACTGTTTTGGCCAATAGCATTTACCTTGCTGGGGGCTATTCTGTCCCCCATGCTAACTTATAGTTTGGCTGCCCTCCTCCCAGAGGAGGGCAACCAAAATGGTCAAAGGCCTGGAAACGATGCCTTATGAGGAACGGCTAAGAGAGCTGGGCATGTTTAGCCTGGAGAAGAGGAGGTTAAGGGGTGATATGATAGCCATGTTCAAATATATAAAAGGATGTCACAGAGAGGAGGGAGAAAGGTTGTTTTCTGCTGCTCCAGAGAAGCGGACACGGAGCAATGGATCCAAACTACAAGAAAGAAGATTCCACCTAAACATTAGGAAGAACTTCCTGACAGTAAGAGCTGTTCGACAGTGGAATTTGCTGCCAAGGAGTGTGGTGGAGTCTCCTTCTTTGGAGGTCTTTAAGCAGAGGCTTGACAACCATATGTCAGGAGTGCTCTGATGGTGTTTCCTGCTTGGCAGGGGGTTGGACTCGATGGCCCTTGTGGTCTCTTCCAACTCTATGATTCTATGATTCTATGATTCTATATCTGTATGAAGCCATTGGGAGCTGTCGTCTGGAGATTTGAAGCACAATGTCATACGTATACTGATGACACTCTCTGTATTTCATTTGAACCGGTCTCTGAAGGCAGTATTGAGATGGATGGGGGCCTTGGCATAACCAAGGGGTGCATAATCAAGTAAATAAATAAAATTTCTTAACTAATGGACCAATTGCGTCACAGATAGCTTGGTTCTCCCTCTCCCCGCCCAACATAAATCCTGGTATGCCCATGGATGGAGGCCAGGTCCAGGCTGGGACGTTTTGTCACCTGCGGCAGAACTGAAAGTGCCGTCTTCCGGCAGCATGGCCTTCCCCTCTGCAGCCACAACAGGCAGCCATTGCAGTCACCTGTCACCACCGCCTCCTTGTGCACAGTGCACAGGCACACCAGCACACCATCCCATCCCCTCTCCCCATAACTCTCCTCTTCACAGCACAAGTGTCCTGCCATTGGTGATGCTCTGGGCTGGTCAACATACTGCTGTTGCACCTACACACTGCAGACAAGGAGGAGGTGGCAGCAGATCTGGTCTCCAAGGAGTATGCCATGGCAGCCACCTACCACTGCCACCTCTTCCACAGCTGTTGCCACCCTGGTGGGCTCCATGGAGGCTAGATCTGCCACCTCTGTCTGGATCCTGCCCCTTGAGGCAGCTGACTCACCTTGCCTCATGGACAGGCTGGCACTGACCTTTATATAGGGCAGCCTCTCTGACTAACTCAGCCACTGGCTCCCTTCTCCTGAGCCTCACAAGGCAACTACTAATAACACACTGGGAATTTATATTCAGGCCTCAGTTTTTCTCTAGTCTTTTCCTCACACCTTTCCTTGGCAACTAAGTTCCCCTTCATCTCCTCAGCTGTCTCTCTCTGACAGGTAACTCCCAACTGCTGAGAATCTCTGGCAGACTGCTGTCACCCAGACCAATCAAAATGAATTTTCCTGAGCCAAGCCCAGCTAATACATTTTCAAAGCAATAGTCTCTCTTTCTCTTTCTCTTTCTCTTTCTTTCTCTCTCACACAAAAACAGCTACAGCTAAAGAGGCTTGCAACGGGGGGCCACTAGGGGGCGCATTGGAAGATGGCCGACAATACCATCTCTCCGACCCACATGGGGTAATTAAGAGGCTGTTATGGGAGTAGGCAGCCTCCCTTGTTGCCCCAAGGAAATGGGGAACACTGCCCTTGCCTGCTGTGCCCATAAATCACCCCTAATTCGAAAGAAGGGGGTGAGGGCCCTAGGCAGAATGCCCCCGTGTGGACCTCGGCTCTCCTGGACGCTGTCTCTGATCGCGCACTAGTTGCAGCAATTTGGAATAATTAATTACAAAAGAAGCAAATGCACATATTTCAAGTGAAGAAGGGGAGTGAAGTCTGCTAATTTAAGTGACCTCTGCGAAAGAAGACGACGGGCTGAAGAAACAGGAATATTTTATGATGAAGATACACCAAAGGCAGCGTATGTTGACAACGGGGCTGAATGGGGGGGGGACCTTTTTTGGGAATGGCGCAGCAATTAATTCGGAGTTGCCATCTTGCCAAAGGATTTATAGCCGGGAGGAAGAACGGATTTGTTTTCAGACTGCATTCCTAGTGAATCTCCTCAGAGGTTTTGAGAAAGGAGGCAGATTGGTGAAGATTAATGACGCTAAGACTGTTTTGGTGTATGGAAGTGATGTTATATGGAAAACGTCTGGATATGGCTACTGGATAAAAAAAATAATATCCACGCAGGATTACAAACTGTTCTAACCAGCTTGCGGAGACTATCAGAGGTCACAAAGAGAAAGGAAAAATATATGAAAATAACAACAAGAGATGTGGAAAAATAATAAGAAAGGACTGGATAGTACTGTGAACATCATAAGGTTAGATTTGTGGACATTAAAACAGCAGTAAGAAGCAAGAAGTTGATTGGATCCCTTCGGAACTTGAAATATGGGTACCCCCAACAAAAATTTAAAATTCGGCTGTGTAATTTGGAATTTATGTAATTTGGTTTGATTTGATGTGATTGGTCGGTTAATAAAAAATTATTCTTAAAAAAAAAGAGAGGCTTGCAACGTGGTAACAGTATAAGGCCTTGAACTTTGAGAACACATATTTTTTCCATCAAAACACAAACAGACACACATATAACATTTCTCCACACCAGTGTAATACTCAAAGCTGAACCATTGAAATTAATGGACATGGTTAACTTAGGCCCACTGTTTTTGCTATGCCTACCTTGAGGAGCGCTTAGTTGGAGACAGCCCTATATTTCTGCAGAGTGCTCTAAAACAAGAATCTACTGAACAGAGGAATGATAAGCCCCTGATGTGAAATAAGGAGACCGAGGTGGACTTCAGCACCATGCAAAGGTAATCGTCCCATCAGTGCAAGGATTGCTGCTTGCCTGAGGTAACCATCTTCCCTCCCCCACAATGTACTGTTCGGCTGCAATAGATGTATGTAGGTATGGTCATGAACTGGCACAGAATTTCAGTGAAGATAATACTTTTATTTCTTATTATGCAGAGATCCAGGAATTACAAAGGCGCACTTTCTTTTGTTGTGTTACTTGTTCATAATTCTGTATAGCCGGGCCCTCCCAGCCATGCCCAATAATTTTCATGCTACCCGTTTCCCACCTTTCTGTCACCGACCCATGACACCAAATTCCCCACATTTTAGTGATAGTGAGAGCTGTACATTCTCTAGGCTTGGTTATTTCTCTGCCCATCTGTTCCTCTGCATGGTTTCCTCAGTGCCACGTGTCTTCCCTCACGGATTATTTCAGCAGCAGGAACCAGAACATCTGTGATGGATGTCACACCAGCTCCCCATAGCATTCCTCACCCTTGCAGTCTGCACATGGAAAAGTGTCTGGGATGATGTGAACCTCTGAGGTGAAAACGTACTTCTTTTTCTCAGATTCCAGGAAAGTTACCTACAAACAACATTGCAGTTCTGCTCAGTACATTACCTTACAAAGAGTGGAAAACAGGCTGCATTGGGAGCATATAGCACAGAAATTTCTAAAATATAATTGTTACGTCTTACTGCATATTTTAAGAGTAGTGCCCTATAGCAAAATACTTAATGACTGTGCAGAAGCAGCTTTGGATCACTTGGTTTCAGTTAATATACTAGGTTGGCAGGGGCTGGGACAGAGCAATGGGAACTCACTCCATTGTGGGGATTCGAACTGCTAACCTTCTGATCGGCATGCTCAAGAGGCTCAGTGGTTTAGACCACAACACCACAGCTTTCATGTACAGCAGTTAGAAGTTGCTTCATCATTCCTGGAAGGCATAGGGCCTCTCCAAGATGGATATTTATATTATTTATGGTAGTCATTATTATTAAATTTAAGATCAAAAGTAGAAACAAACAAAAAAGACTGTTTTTTTCGGTGAGTGTATTTTACAACATGTCATGAATGCAACAGAAGTGTGTTATTGATGGTTTTACACCAGACTGGCCACACATTAGTTGTTCTGCAATGTTCCCCCAGTGGCATTATTGCCATCTGTAGGAGCACTCATGTACTATGTGCAACAAAAACAGGGCAAAACCTAAACCGGGACATTTGTGACATAAAACTTTAGAGGTTTCAGTAGGATGTTACAGGACATGAACCAACTGGAAACGAAGCCATATGTTCCACCTCAAAACTTTCCTAGGTGCAAACAGTATTGAAAGTGAGATTGCCTATAACTGACCCAATACCACTGCGAGTACATCTCATGAATGCTCAATAACAAACACATCTGGAGAGGCACACCAGAAGTGAAGTAATATAAGTGGTTACTAATATTTGCCCAACCATGTGATGTAGGTCAGTATCATTTTCAGCGTCTTATAAGAAATGTGTGCAGAGGGGCAGTGAAGGAAGAAGCACCATTCCATAATTACACCATCCTGAGTTAATACCAGGGCTGGGATTTGGAATGGCAATACAGTGGTACCTCGGGTAAGTACTTAATTCGCTTCGGAGGTCCGTTCTTAACCTGAAACTGCTCTTAACCTGAAGCACCACTTTAGCTAATGGGGCCTCCTGCTGCCGCCGTGCCGCCGGAGCACGATTTCTGTTCTCATCCTGAAGGTACTATTTCTGGATTAGCGGAGTCTGCAGCCTGAAGCGTATGTAACCTGAAGTGTATGTAACCCGAGGTACCACTGTACCCAGCTAATAGCTCTTCCTGTTAATCACTCCACTTTAGGAGCACTTCATCTAAGCCAGGGGTCAGCAAACTAAGGTCCGCGGGCCGGATCTGGCCCAATTGCCTTCAGGATCCCGCCTGCGGATTGTCCGTGGATTGGCATGGGGATTCTGTTCGTTTGGGCTGCGCATTTCCCCCCTGCACCATTCCATTCCCCTGCCCTCTCCCTCACACACACCACGGTGGCGCCTCCTCCCTCCCTCCTCCTGGCTTCTCCCCACCCTGCCTAGAGGAGGAAGGGGGCTGGGCTGAGCTGGCTGAGCGCCATTTTAAGCAGCCCCTCTCCATAGCCAGCCCTTTCCTGCCGCTCATCTTCCCTCCGCTGCCGCCGCCACTGCCGCCCTGGTGCTCCTGTGAGCCAGAGAATGGAGCGGACAAGCTCCCTCTGCCTACCCACGAGAAGCAGCAACAGTGGCAGCGGCGGTGGCAGCCCCTGGGAAGGTAAGCGCAGTGGCTGGGGCTGGGGGCTGGGGAGGAGGACTACTTGCCCCCTCACCTCTTTTTCCAGCCCACCCCCCCCCGGTGCTGCTTCTCCGACCCGCCACAAGGTCTGAGGGACAGTGGACCGGCCCGCAGCTAAAAAAATTTTGCCAACCCCTGATCTAAGCCATAACCTGTCCCAAGCACACTTCATGAAAATCCCACAAACACTGATTTTTATTTCTGGGTGGCAATGAGGACATAGTACTGGAATGGGGTGGATGCTTATGAGCCATTTTGTGACCTGAGAAAGGTAGACCAACAATGTCTGGCCTGCTTTACTGTTTAATGTCCCAATACTCATATCATTATATGACACTCCTGAAAGAACATGCTGTTTCCAGGAAGACTGATCAGGGTGAATCCCCATCAGTCCTGATGCTCGGTGAATCCTTATGCATGTGTATAGGGATGCGTGTGTTACCTCAATAAAGAAGGCTCTCCATCCTATATCTGGCTTTGTCATTTCTGCCTTATAGACACCCGTTTTCTGCAAAGAGATAAAACAGAAGAAGGCACTGAGACCTATCATGGTGTCTTGTATAATATTGAGCTTCACGAAGTCTCAAATGTTCATTAGCATAAATGTGGGGAAGAGTGAGGTGAGGTTTAATAGGGAAGAGGGGAACAACCAGTGCTTTTTTCTAAAAAAATGTTTAGGGGTACTCTCATTTTTCTACTCATATTGAAATACTGCCCCTCAATGAGGCCAAACTTAGATTCACAAAATGTTTGGGGGTATGCATCCCCCCCAGAAAAAAAGCACTAGGAACAACTATGGCTCAAAGTGGAGCAGGATGGGAGAGGATGACATCCCACTTCTTTCCAGGTGACCCTAAACCACACCACTTATTTCCAATGGATGTAAACCTATCCCATTTTGTTACACAGATCAGGTTCTCACACCAGCATTACAGAAAGTCACTATCTGCACAATCCTGTGCCCGAGGGGGCACCTTGGGCCCAGGGGGAAATGTGGCCATCCAGTCTGCTCTACCCTGCCTTTGGGATTCTCAACAAGCCCCACACTCTCCCAACCACATCCCTCACCAGCTGTGCTTTCCTCCCTCCTGGAATGTTTTGGTCTGGCTGGAACGTGTCTTTGAACTCTGATGCTGTTTGCTTGCTTGCTTGGATGGATGGAGAATAGAGAAGGATGTGTGAGTGTGAAGAAACTAGGCTACTGCACAATGGTAGAATTCACCTTGATTGTGCAGAAGGGAATGTGGTCCTCTGTCTGAAAGAGATTCCCCATCCCTATTATACATGTATACTCATCAGCCCCACTTTGTTAGCAGGCCTTTTTCTCTCGCTTAGATGTTTTTATGCCTGCAGCATAAATACAACATTCTTCTGCTCACACATGCCTGGGCAATGCTAGATGGAAATAGGCTCTGCTGGGCTTTGAAATAAAACCATCCTATGGACTCCCCCATGGGAAAGACAATATTCCAGGCACTCAGACAGTGAAGGAATCCCATTCCATTTATTGGTTTGATGGCTTCCTTCTTCAATTTATGTTCCACCCTTCCTCCTGAAGGAGCTCAGGGACTTTACAGGATGGGCCTTCTGTCCACATGCTTGCTGTGGCACATTAGGGTTCTGGTCATCCAAAGTAGACATGCCAGCAGTGGGCTTTCCTTGTTTGTTCTTATCACTCTTCACATCACAAATGGAAACCAACAGCTCTACCTCTCTTTCAAATCAGAACCAGTGAAGGCAGTGAAGGTCCTGTGTGAGTGCCTGGAGGCGGTTGGAGGTTGGATGGCGGCTAACAGATTGAGGTTGAATCCTGACAAGACAGAAGTACTGTTTTTGGGGGACAGGAGGCGGGCAGGTGTGGAGGATTCCCTGGTCCTGAATGGGGTAACTGTGCCCCTGAAGGACCAGGTGCGCAGCCTGGGAGTCATTTTGGACTCACAGCTGTCCATGGAGGCACAGGTCAAATCTGTGTCCAGGGCCGCTGTTTACCAGCTCCATCTGGTACGCAGGCTGAGACCCTATCTGCCTGCGGACTGCCTCGCCAGAGTGGTGCATGCTCTGGTTATCTCCCGCTTGGATTACTGCAATGCGCTCTACGTGGGGCTACCTTTGAAGGTGACCCGGAAACTACAACTAATCCAGAACGCGGCAGCTAGACTGGTGACTGGGAGCGGCCGCAGGGACCACATAACACCGGTCTTGAAAGACAACAGGTGTCTGTGACACACACCACACAGAAATCCTAAATGAATGTGCTGTGCAAAGTATCACATTGTGGAAATCTGCAAACATCGAGCAAATTCAATGTCTCTTCCCAACTTTACGGGGAGGCATCTGTTTCCCAAGAACTGCTTTTGTGTCTGTCTGTGTCTTTGGAACCCCTTGACATCCTCAGCTTTGTGAAGAAACTCTAAAGAAATTCTAAATCTAAAATCCTCTTACCACTTTCTCAACCTTGCATGGAAACCAAGATACACGATGACCCCGAAATCGCCTGAAGTCTCGCCTAAGAATGAGAAGGGAAAGAGGAGGTACAGGATGAGCTGCTTTTTGAAGAAAAGTACCATCAACAATCCAATATGTCTTAATTCACATCGCAACACAAGTACTCATATTTGTGGAAATTTAAGATAATGGTTACAAGATTACCCACCCATTATGATGGATCTCTAATGCTGTCAACCTGATCCAAAATGTTCAAGAGCATCCTTAATAACCTACTCAGTGGTCCCTTTTGAATCTTTGATAGTAGGTTTTAACACATACAAAAGACATTGGCGGACTTTGAACTTTCAAATTTCAGTGGCATCCTGTGCAATGCCAAAACTTGGGTTCCCCTTGCCTTACAGCTTCTGTTCTATGTGATTGTTGCAGTACCCAGTGTGGGTGAACCGCTTGTGCTCCCTTAAATAAGACTCTGCCAAGGATTTCTGGGGGGTAAATGAAGAGTACAGGGATCTATCTGCACTGTACATTTAAAGCAGTATCATGCCGCTTTATACACTAATGCCTGCAAGAAACCTGGGAAGCACTGTTTGTTAAGAGACCCCCATTGCCCTCCCAGAGCTAGAATTTTCAAAGTGGTTTAACAATTGATCTCTTTTCCAAGGAACTCTGGGAATTGTGGTTCCCAGCACCCTTAGCAAACTACAATCCCCATGATTGTGTGGCTGTGCTGTGTGTGGAGCCATTACTGTACTGTTTAAATTGGTATGATACTGTTTTAAATGTACAGTGCAGATGAGACCTAAAAGTTTGCGGAGCTGCTCACTGCTGACTGAGAGAAGGCCAGTGGCTTTCTTGCTTCCTCTCAGGAAAATTTAGTAAGCTTTAAGAAAGAGAAGACCTCAGGGGCTTTTTTGTATGTTGACTTTGTATGTTATTCTATATACTAATGAATTATATAAAATTTTGCTGAAAGAATCCTACCTTTTAGAGTTCAGAGTGTTAGCAAAGAAACATTTAGTTGCTGAAGGTTCCTGATCTGTACGGAGATGGATAATGCCTTTGGAATTTGTCTAGAAAGAGAGAGAATATCACAGAAAAATTGTCTCCCTTCAGCATACAACTAAAAATGCAACGTCAGTGTCAGGAGTAGCTGCAGCTCCACATGAAGCACTTGCAAATTGAGAAAAAAAATACTCAAAAACATCACATGAAAGCACCAATACATATCAGTACAATTCGCAACTGACAAAAAAGGCTGCATTGAACCACTATGTCTGTGCTGAATCACTATAGCTAAATTTAGTATTTTAAGGAGTTGATACACTTTTAAAAACTAGAATGATTAACACCTCTTTCTTTTTATCTGTATGATGATTCAATATTTGGAGAAAGTTTGGGTTGGGGGATAATGATTAATGCATCACTTACTACAGTTGAGAGCCAGTATCACATAGTGGCCAGGTTGCTGGACTTAAATCAGGGAGACACACTTCCAAACCCCTGCCCTGCTTAAGGAGTGAGATTTAGGCTGGCCACTTAAATTGCATATCATCACTGCCTCCCAAAAGGAGCACACAGATCTCCATCACATTTACACACACTAATCTATACATATAGGGTGACAATTAGAAATATTACTACATTTTAAATAGAAATACAATACGGTGGTGGGGAAGATTGTGATTAAGTGACCTGCTCAGCCTCCTGTCCAGGTGTTAAGTATCAGCTGGTGATTCAAGGCCCCCAACTCTCTTTTCTTGGGGTTCTTCTTTATCTTTAAACTGAACTTGAACCAGGCAGCTCTTCAAATAGAGGACTCCAGCAAACAGCATTTTCTAGTCATGCAGATGTAGGACTGCCTTCTCTAAAGTAGGGCACAGGGACCCCCTAGTGATCTTGAGCCATTCTCTCTCTCTCCACTTCCTCCCCCCTTTTTCTTGTGGGGAGATCTGTGCTCAGATTTCTCATACTATATTTTTAAGATAAATGCAGCAATTTAGAAGAATGTATTTGTGTTAATGGCTGTAGGGCCAGCACTTTCCCTTAACACCATTTCCACAATGAAAATCTCCTCCTCCAAAACTGATTCTTCAAGAGGAAACAGTCAGATGTGGGTCACAGAAGCTAATGTGATTTTCACTCATGAAAACAGCCTGGTGAGAAATGATTTAGCAGCTGCCTCCCCAGATCATCACATCACCTATCCAAATCTATCCATAGTTGCATTTACGTACCTTTTCTCAGCAGCAACAGTGACAACAAACAAAAGAAGAAGAAGAAAAGGCGATCCTATCACAGTTCTCACTTTGGCCACCCCAACGTATCCCACAAGGCTGTTGTAAAGATAAATACTAGAAGATCTACACACCTCTCAGTCTTTCTGAAGGAAGATGAAAGCCACAACCAATAGTATATTTATACTACTGAAGTAAACTGGTCTAGCAGTCTTTTGCTCTTCTATAGGACTTGAATACACAACCAACTTTCTGAGCCTCTGGATCACTTCAGGACACTTTCTCTGTGATTGAAAAAGAAACTGAATCCTATATTCTGATACAGTAAATACAGAGAACACCCAAGATCTTAGGAGGCCAATGAGAAATGTGGCAATATTTTGATGTTTACTAGAACACTCAAGGCTAACCAAGGGTGCCCTCAGAGAATGACCAAATGCTATAATCAAAGAATTGTTGAATTAGGTCATAAGGGTAATGTAGTCAAACCCTCTGCAGTGCAGACTCTTTTACCCAATGAGAGGCTTGAACCCACAAGCTATTGTTGCCATCATTTACTGGTAGGGTGCCATCTGTCCTGTATAATACAGGATTGTCCCATATTTCAATGTAAAATGTTACTTCATGTATTTGTCCTGTATTTCAGGTCTTCTCTCTCTCTCCCTCTCTCTCCCTCTCTCCCTCTCCCTCTCCCTCTCCCCCAAATTAGGGATCCTCTCCAAATGTATGTGTTTAAAGGCGTGTGTGAAATGTCATTTAAGCTCTGAGTAGCCAAATACAGACAAATTTACAAATTCATGTTTATGTGTGTGCGCGCATGCATTTGACAAATTCCAGAGGGGCCATCCTGTTAGGCTGCAGCAGATTGTAATGGATTGTTTTGAAGTCAATTCAGCTCCAGTTTTAAAAAAAAGAATCACCCCACAACTGCCCTGTCCTGCATTTTGCCCAAACAAAGGTGGCAACCCTATTTACTGGTAAAAGACAACATTAACCAAGACCAGTTTGGATATCATCATAACAACCTTCCTGTTTTCAATATTTGTGATAATATTTTAGGAATCTTGAGCTCGACTCCATCTCCTTAGTACTGTAAAGGAGACTCCATCTGTTAGAGACAACATGCACCCATTGCTTGGGGTGAATTAGAAAACATGCTTCTTGACATCATCAGCAACATCAGTTTTCCTCACCTCCACCCTTTTCCAAGAAATTTGAGGCATGTTCAAATTCTGCATGGTGCTGAGATAAACGGTTCTACATGTCTCCAAGATAGATGCTTTATCCCCAGGGCGCGATGCCACAAAGTGTGTGGTGTTTGGGAGGAACCTGCAGGCAACAAGAGAGATTTTTTGCAAAAATAGCTTCCTTGTAATAGAGAAAGATATAGCAGCGACGTGTTTCTTCTAACCACAGAAATGTGACTTTCTGCAGTTTTTCCTCCTTAGAAAGAATGCACACATATATAGAAATATACAAGGACGAAACATTGCATCATCATTCAAAGCCTATGTGAATTGTGCAGCAAAGATCAGCAGTCTTGTTCATTGGTACTATCATTCAGACTACACAGGGGGTTCGCTCAACACTAAGGGACCTGTGCATTCTCAGTTCAAATTACAGTATTGTCTCTCATTTGGGTCTCAAGCCATCCAGTCACTGTCTTTAACCAGAGGGATGATTTCATTGCCTCGAAAAGGATAATTTTTTGCAGCATGAACTCACCGGATATATTTCTCTCCTGCTAGTTGATCAAAGAAATAGTGAGAGTCATCAGGCGGGTTTATTCCATCTCCTGTTCCACAGATTAGGCACTTGGGCTTATTTTGATATCGCTCATTATATTCTGAGGATTGAAAAATTAAATGTTACTGTATTGGTCAACACATGCAGTTCTCAAGTTGCTACTACTTATTTCCATCATCAAAGGCTGGTAAGACTGGACAGGAGCAATGGAAAACAAGAGACATTCATTGGGCAGGTGGGAACAAAAATATAACTGAAAAATATGTAAAACAGCTTTATTGTGGCAAACTAGAACCATGGATCAAAGTCTAGATAGCAAATGTTGGTGTTGCAATGTTGAAAAGGGAGTCTTTCTATAGTATATATGCTGTTTGGGTCTTTGAAAGAAGTTTGATAGTAGGTTCTCCAGGTCATCAAGAAACCAATATGAGATGCCTCAGGATGCATTATTTATTTATTAAAGGTAAAGGTAAAGGTACCCCTGCCCGTACGGGCCAGTCGTGACCGACTCTGGGGTTGCGCGCCCATCTCGCTTAAGAGGCCGGGGGCCAGCGCTGTCCAGAGACACTTCCGGGTCACGTGGCCAGCGTGACGAAGCTGCTCTGGCGAGCCAGCACCAGAGCAGCACACGGAAACGCTGTTTACCTTCCCGCTATAAAGTGGTACCTATTTATCTACTTGCACTTAGGGGTGCTTTCGAACTGCTAGGTGGGCAGGAGCTGGGACCGAATGACGGGAGCTCACCCCGCCGCGGGGATTATTAGAATAATTTATATCCCACCTTCATCTTCAACAGGTAGGCCTGGCCCAAAATGAATTTTGCTCAAGACGGAGGATAGGATTACACACCCTTATTGTTCCTGGCGAAGAAGCTAATTGGATTGGTAGAACTGGCCATGCAGCCTCACAGGTACACAAGGAGATCCTCTCAGAGCAGGTACACAACAGGTACATCACAGGTACACAAGGAGATCCCCTCAGAGCAGACCAATGGTCCACCTAGGCCTGCACTCTGTTCTCAAAGTGGCCACCTCCTTGATAATTTTGGCTGTTCTTTTCTGAACCTTTTCCTGCTCTACGATAACCTTTCGGAGGTGTGACGGACCAAACTCTACACAGTATTCCAAATGCAGTCACAGCTTAGGTTAATATACAGTGGTACCTCGGGTTAAGAACTTAATTTGTTCTGGAGGTCCGTTCTTAACCTGAAACTGTTCTTAACCTGAAGCACCACTTTAGCTAATGAGACCTCCTGCTGCCGCTACACTGCTGCTGCACGATTTCTGTTCTCATCCTGAAGCAAAGTTCTTAACCTGAGGTACTATTTCTGGGTTAGCGGAGTCTGTAACCTGAAGCGTCTGTAACCCGAGGTACCACTGTAATGGCATTAGAATACTGGCAGACTCCAAAGAAACAGCTGTGAGGGGGTCTGCTGTTGCTGTCCTCTGGCATCTTGGCCTAAGGCTGGGCTACTTCTGAGAACCTAGACTATAACGACATGTTTATTATCAATTCGGCTTGCTTAGAAACCAGATCATACCCTCCAACATTTCTCCTATGAAAATAGGGACGTTCCATTCCATAATGATAATTTTACTATTTATACCCCACACATCTGACTGGGTTGCCTCAGCCACTCTGGGCAGCTTCCAACAAATATAAAAACATACTAAAACATTAAATATTTTAAAAACTTCCCTATGCAGGCTCAGGGGTTGGATAACTCCATACCCTCCAACATTTCTCCAATGAAAACAGGTACATCCTAAGGAAAAGTGGGACATTCTGGGATCAAATCAGAAACCCTGACGGCTTCTCTAAATCAGGGACATCCCTGGAAAATAGAGGGTCTGCTTTGTTACTTTAAAAAAGGACTCCTTGGGTACTTTCATACATTTCTGACAGAAATCGAGACATGGAATTGGAACAAGCACCATGGATAAAAGCATCCAACACAACATGGAACAAAAGCCAGCCAACTAACAGCCAGAACAGAGGGGACCCAGTTAACGTCTTGTGGCAGGAGGTTCCACAGTCCCCATTCCCAACAAACAGTACCTCTCTCCATGGTGGGATGCTTATAAAAGCTACCCCTGTGGATCATAAGAAATGAGCTTACTCATATGGGAGGAGATGGCCCTTTTTGATAATCTTGGCCCAAACCAGCCAGGGTTTTAAAGGTGATGCTACTGCACTGAATTATTCCTGGAAAGATATTGGAAGCCAGTGTGGTCTAATGAAAAAATAGATGACCCGAGATCCCACGGGCGAGTTCCTATCAAGACCCCCCCAGTGCTGCATTCGGGGCCAGCTGAAGATTCTGAAGGTTCTTTTGAGCTTTCTTCATCTCAGCAGCCTGATTTTTAGAAGGAAAACCCTCATATGTTTGCTGTTGCTATTGTTAAAACAAATCGTAATTTAAACAACTTACTTCCTGTAACCCAAATGTCTAGTACTAGATCCCAATATAACTTCTCTGCCCTTTTGATTTGAAGGATCATGGCCTTGGGGGATTCTCTTAAAGCTTTCCACAAAGTAGCCACATGCCATATTTTATCTTAGGTTTAATTTAGGGTTGCCATATTTCAAAAAGTGAAAATCCCGCACAAAAGTCGTTGAGCTTTTTTGGCAAAATCACAAAAAAATGTTTTTGAGCAATTTTTAAGTGCCACCACAATTCCCCAGGGCTGCCCTTTCCCACCAATTCAACCCTTTGTTCTGCTATTCTGCTACCATTTCATTTGTCAGAGAAATCTGAGGTGGTAAGAATTACTCACGAAATGGATCAACATATGAAGTTAATTCCTTAAACCGTGGAGAGTCCAACTGCCGAGTTAGGTTCAGCTGATAGAAGACTTTCAATGACCTTCCCCAGCCACAGTATGCTCGGTATTGATGATGCCTGTTCTGTGGCACAGTAGAAGAAAAGAGTTCTAAGTGCACATCAAATAAGAACATTCCATTCTACATTAGTAGAATGTCCCTATTTTCTGAGATGTAGGGATGATCGCGGGGTCCAGAGGGAGAACGCTCCCTACCCGCAGGCAGCCTCAGTCTGCCTGCACGCGTGACCTTGGGGTGTGGGGCACAGATCCCCCCTCACAGATAAAGCCACAGCTGTCTGAACATCGCGCCCACTGTCTAACCCTTTGCATTCTCAGTAGTCTGTGGTGCCGTGTCTGTAACCTTTGTCTTTGAGACCTTTTGTCTCCTTCGTCATACACTGTGCAAGGGGAAAATGAAGCGGTGGAAACAGGTGCCAAAATAGCTTTGTACCACCCCACAATCTCGGGACTGGAAGATGTGTAAAGCCCAAAATGTATCTGCCTGGGTTTGCATATTCGTGTCAATAAAAGGAGGCTCCACAGGGCTGGCCGGCAGCTTGCATGCAGCTCACCTGTGCGCAGCTCACCTGCATTATCAACTGCTGCCTCATGTCCATCACTTCACTGAGAAATGATGGAGGGTAATATATGACACTGTCATATATTAAGAACCTGAAGTCCTACAGTATGGAGGAGAGTCAAATGCTAAAACCATAATATTTATTCAGCTCTTTAACAGGGCTAAGCTCAGAGGCATACCTAGGGTCCCTTGGAGCTGTATTGGTGCCCCCAATTTTTTAGAAGCAGGTGAGCTTGCCTGGACAGGAGGAATTTGCATCTTCAGGGCTGACAGGGCAGCTGCACTGCTCTGTGCCTGGAAGCCACTCCAAGGACCCCTTCCTGCTCTCTCCTATAGCAATAGCAGCAGCAGCCTTTTTCTCCTGGAGATCCGGATGGATTCCTTCTGCGGGCATAGCAGGTGTTGGAGTGCTGAGTGGTGGGGAGTACTCCAAGAGTCATGGGAGGACTCCAGCATCCAACAGGTGATTTTAGCGCCCCACCCCTTGGGCAGTAGTCAGTTTTGCCAACCCCTAGGTACACTTCTGGCTAAGCTGATGGACACAAAACAGGACATGCCAATAAATTAGGGTCAACAGTCAATGCCTATGGCTCTCATGGGTTGTTGTTGGTTTTGTTTGTTTGTTTGTTGCTGTTGCTATTTACTTGTATTGTGTTTGTAAGAAAAACACTGGGGCCTAATTTGAATAGTAGAGTGCTTGGTATCTGGTGGGCGGGGCTTGTGTGTTTTGCTCCGGAATCAGCCCCTCCCTTCAGTGTGTGTGTTCCATTATGTTCAGTTAAGAATGCCAGTTAAGAGGAACCAAATGTTACATGTAATGTCTATGGCACTACTTCATGAAATCATCCAGTTCACCCTCCATAATTGCCAGGATTGTGGGAAAAGAAATATGCTTGCAAAGCTTTGTTCCTCCCCAAACCTAGAAGCCAACAGTTAATGAACCAATATTTGGGGACAGGATATTTGAAGGACCATTTTCCCTCCACAAATTTGCCTCTCCTCCCTTACAATCACTGGAGGGATTCCTCACTGTCCCTTGCCTTCAAAAGCATGGCTGATTAGGACACAGGACAGGGTCTTTGCAGTAGTGGTGCTGAAGCTGTGGAGTGCCCTTCCTCAGAAGTTTCACTGGCTCTCACATTTGTGGCCTGCCTGCAAATGGCCAACATATTCTTATTTGTCCAGAGTACTATGAAGGAACTATGAAGAAGACTAAGTACACACAGCTTGTGCACCATCCTTTGAACATCTACTCACCTTAACGAAATTCAAAAGATCATAAACAATTGGAATAAATGACACAACTCTCTTGTCCACAGCTGCTGTCAGCCAGGTGGCCCAGCCACGCTAAAACAAAGAGATAAAGCATAAAGATGCAGAGGTATTCAGTTCCCACTGGAGAACCTAAACATGGCATATACAGGTGAAATAGGGATGAGCATGCATAGGGTTAATTCTGGTGTATCGAAAATCCAATACAGCACAGACCTGCAGTTCATATCTACCTTGGAAATACCGGTCAATGTGAACTTTGTGATCTTCACTGTTCCACCAGATTCTTTCAGCAGGAAATCTATTATTGTGTCCATGCCTCGCACAGCTGCCTGCACATAACAGAAGAGGATTGTAGTCTCTGGAGTTGATCCCTGAATACCCTTATCTCAAACAGGAGATTTGGCAACCAAGATTTGTACCTTGGTTGCTTTTCATCACCGCATATTTATCTTTGCTGACAGGCATGTCAGCAACTGATTACTATTTTGCCATCTTCTTCCCCTGAAGTCCGGAATGAGAAAATATATTGGCTTCTGGTTCCCCTCTGCCTTAATGGAGGCAGCTCCCACGATAGCAGGAGATCATTGGCAAAGGAAAAACCAGGATGATTGAGGGTAATTATCCTTGCAAAATCCCCCCAGGGACAGGGGGAAATGGGCTTCACTCGCAGTTTGTCTCGGTACCTTGCTCTCGCTCTGGCATGGATTGCGGGAGGCAGGGAGGCACTGAGTGCAAAAGCACTTCACCTGCCGAAAATCCTCCAATGCCATCATTAAGGAGCAGAGGTTCTCCCTTTAATTAGAGTTTAATTGGACTAAAGTACAGGAGCATACTAGAAAAGATGATATCACAAATTGCAAAACATAAACAACTGCAAGGACTTTAAGGTTTGAATTTGAGATAAAACTTCATTTGGTGCAAAAGACAGTGGGGGGAACCTATGGTTTATTTATTTAAAGTTTTCTTCTCTACATATATGATTTGGCAACCCTCCTCTGAATGTTTAGTCCAAATTATATTTGTACAAGCGAGGATGGAATAAATTGGATTATAGATATGGAATATAACATTAAACAGAACTGTGTGTGTAAAAAAAAAGGAAAAAGGAAAAAGGAAGGGAAGCTCTATTTTGCAAAAGGTTTAGAATGGAAACTTAGAGCTGACTCTTCCCCATCCTTTATTATTTATGGAGTGAACTGAATAACGCTAAGAGGACTCAGAATTTGATTTAAGTGGAAGTATAATTGCTCATTTATCTTCAGTTGGACAGAAAGATGAAAGGCATCTGTGAACTTGCCAAGGAACTGATAAGGTTTGTTATTGAGTCATCTGCAGTTCGACAGACCACTCTTCTTCCCAGGCTGAGAGGGGAAATTGTGAAAACAGGTTTTTTATTGGGACAGAGTGATTTTTTCAGCTCTTGTCAAGGTCGCAAAACAACAACACACGGGATGGAGCAATGGAGAAATTTCTGAAACAACAATGGAATATGACATGATGAATAACAGCAACAACCGGGGGGGAGGGGGGAGAGAGACAAGGACGGGAACAAACACCATGGGCAGAATAATTGCCACACACAGGAAGAACAAGGATATAGTTCGTCACTTGTAGTTTTATAAGTCATTTAATGTGTCAACACAAATAGAAGTTATTAGTATTGTAGTTGTTGTATAAGGGATTATTATTATGAACGGAATGTACTTGAAATTAATAAGATTTTGGAACACAAAAATAAAGCAAATAACTAAGCCATCAGTTCTAGCACGTGGAGAGCCACCTTATCTAAATTACAGTGGTACCATGGTTGTCAAACTTAATCCGTTCTGGGAGTCTGTTCGACTCCTGGAACTGTTTGAAAACCAAGGCATAGCTTCCGATTGGCTGCAAGAGCTTCCTGCACCCAACTGGAAGCTGCGAAAGCCGCGTCGGACATTTGGCTTCCGAAAAATGTTTGCAAATTGGAACACTCACTTCCGGGTTTGTGGTGTTCAGGAGCCGATTTGTTCGGGAGTCAAGCCGTTTGACAACCAAGGTACCACTGTATATAATTTGGTATTTGAACAATTGGTATTAATAATTGTATTATAAATTGGTATCCTTATAATGAGGCTATTATTGGATTGTAATTGAAAACTAATAAAAATTATTATCAAAAAAGAATGAAAAAATATATTAGTGGGCTAATGTTGTCACCTAGGCATAGTAATTATCACCATCATTATTTCCAGCATTAATATGTATTATATATTTCATTCATTTTCTTAAGTGTCAGATGCCAACAATATAACACCTTTTAATAATTCTCTGCCAAATTAATACAAAAAGAGAAAGATTTCCATTCTGCTTAACTAAAAGTTGCCAGGAAGTCTTAAAATGTTATGCTTTCTATGTTCTTTTTTATTTTATTAATATATGGCACATTCTTGAACAGCTTTTGAACCATATCTTTGTCATCCCTGTTTCCAAATTGCAAATAACCTTCCTAATTAGTAATAATTCATCTTCCTAATATTTTTAATAACATAATCTATCTTCATAAATTGAAACCATTGTGATAGTTTCAAATGTCCTTTCTAAGGCTGCAATCCTAGATATGCTTACCTGGGAGTAAGTCCATTGAACTCAATGTATCTTACTTCTGTGCAAACATATATAGGAATGTGTTAAAATTCATCTCATCTTATACAGTATTTTGTTCTTGTTCCAGAATATCTTAATGGGAAACAATATTTGTCCATACAGACCGTGTACCAGGAACAGAAAACAACTAATTTACCTGCTCCAAAAAGTAGGTGAAAACCTCAAGGAGATATCCTTAATCCAAATACATTCAGATGCCACCAGGCCCCTGCCCCGCCTCCTCTTCCATGGACCCATTCCTCTGCTGCCATGCCCCTGCCTACATGCCATGTCCCCTATATGCAACTTCCACCTTTGCCACAGGCGTACCTCTCCACAGGCATGGGCACACACATACTACTACTACTACTGCAGGGGGCATCCACGTTGGAGGTGGCAGCAAGTGGTGTACTCTTTGCACCCAGATCTATCACCTGAGGCCACCACCTCACCTGCTTCTAGGTTCTGTGATTTGCAAGCTTATAGATTGTGTGTGTGTGTGTGTGTGTTTGTATGTATATATGTATACGTATATAAGGGGTATGTGGTTTGCAAAACTTACAGTAGTTCTGCCAGCTTTAAGGGGTTTCTGGAAACAACAAAGAACATTTTTCCAGAATGATAGCAGCATGTGCAGAAAGCCAGAGTTACCTTGACCATTGGAAACTGAATTAGCCCGTGAGGTTGCTCACTCTTGTCATTCATGAATTTCCACCACGTACAATAAACCGCAGCATTTTCAAAGCTGTTCTTGCACATCTGCAAAGGGATTGTCTGGAAGCAAAATAAAAGAAAGATGAATGTGTTTTTGGTTGAAGCATCCCATCTGGACCCCTAGAACAGCCTGACAGGTCAGCTTTCACCAGGTGAATAGGAAGGGAATTAGCTATCACTCCAGCAAGGCAAGGCATCTGTTTAGGTTAGTTGATGGATGGGTTGTTCTGTTTAACGGAGCAGGGATCAGCATGCCAAATATATTGCCAAACCTATCCAACAGAAATCCTCTCCCCTCTCACCACTGCAAATACCAACAAAATCCTGCATGTCTTTCATTTACACACACATTTGGGCTAAACTGCCCACAGTAACCATGATTGCAAATTGCTGAGCCACCAAAAACAACATTTTAGAAAAGGTATGCAGTGCTCATCTCGCTTTCAGGCTGAGGGAGCAGGCGTTTATCCACAGACAGTTTTCCGGGTCATGTGGCCAGCATGACTAAACTGTTTCTGGTGCAACTGAACACTGTGATGGAAACCAGAGCACATGGAAACGCCGTTTACCTTCCAGCCACAGCGGTCCCTATTTATCTACTTGCATTGGCGTGCTTTCGAACTGCTAGGTTGGCAGAAGCTGGGACAGAGCAATGGGAGCTCACCCCACCACGTAGATTTGAACCGCTGACCTTCTGATAAGCAAGTCCAAGAGGCTCAGTGGTTTAGACCACAGCGCCGCCCGCGTCCCTACAACATTTAAGAACAGAGGTCCTGGTAAGGCAGGCCAGGATTTTTCAACTCCTAGTGATGAAGAGGCGCAGTTGCCCCATGTACAACCCACTGGGAATGCAGTAGGAGTCCATGGCTCCAGTAAGTATCTGAGGAACAGGCTCCTGCTGCTCTCACCTTCACCTTCTCTAAGGAGATGCGCACCACATGACTTGGCTCCCACATTTTAATTCTAGTATTTTGAACCACTTCTATGAAAGAGATGGTTAATTCTTCACGATTATGAAATGCAATTTGCTTATGAAGAAAGGTTATCAGACAATCTGTAGATTTCTGCTAGATTTTGCTCTGAGAAAGTAAACACTTCCCTCATTAGAGTGAAATTGGGGGAAGAGAATCTGTAATGGAAGTTTCCAGTGAGAAAATGTGACAGCCACACCTGTTTCCCCAGTTCCACCCACCCAGCCGACTCCTGTCTCCTACACGAGTTTGAAAATGATTGTGGGAAGTTCTCAGCATAGTAAAGATCCTAGAGCACTTACCTTGTAGGTGATTGGCTGGTTTGGAATCTGCCCCAAAAGAGCTGCACAGCTTCAGAGACAAAACAAAATATTAGTCAACAGGAGTAACGTCATTTGTGATCAACAGGCAATGAGGCCAAAGAGACCAGAGTCAATAGCTCTGGGCAGCTTTGGAACAATCATAAGATTTACTAAAATCAAGGAAGAGACAGAGAATTCAAGCAATATTACCTTTCTTGTTACTTATTGGGGGGGCTGAGAGGAAGATGAACTAATATGTCACTCTGGCGCATAGAGAACCTGGCTTTCAGACCATTTTTGTTTCTGACTGCTTTATTAGTGAGAACTCAGTATGGTGTTTCCTCCTCCAATAACACTCACAGGTTGCGAATATACAACACCTCTAGTACATGTGGGATAACGAACATATTTAAGTCTAATTAATGCATGAAGGGGTTAATACCATAGAGCAATCGACCTGCCAGGCTTAGCTATGCTCACTTCACCTTGGGAGGAACTAGGTATTCAAGGCTACCTCAGAAACACAGCATGTGAAGAGGTTTGAGCTGGTTGCTCAAGCTCAGACAACACAGCTCTCATCAGCCCCTCTTCAGTTCCTATACCCAGTGCTTTTTTTCTGGGGGGACGCAGGGGGATTCATACCCCTAAACATTTTGGCCTCATTGAGGGGCAGTATTTCAATATGAGCAGGAAAATGAGAGCACCCCTAAACCTTTTTTAAAAAAAGCCCTGGCCTATACCAATAATTTAGGAACTTTCACCACTGTATAAGTAAGCAAAGATTTACCGCATGTGCAACTTTTCTGAAGCACGTGAACTTCCCCTCCACCCACTCCCCATGCTGATGTTATTCCTTATATGGTAAGCTTGGACGATGGCTTGGGGAGAATATCTGGCTCTTGGATAAGTCTTCGCCTGCCAGGGGTTGACATCAGCTGGTGGGCAGGGCAAGGTGAATTCCTGATGGGTACTGCTTTGCCAGTTTATGGGGAAAGCGCTGCTGAAGCAGACCCCTACAGTCAGCAGGACTGAACACTCTGAGCATCAAATGGTCAGGATAGGATTCAGTACTGCTGGGTGCTACTTTTCCAGGGAACACTCTGGCAAAGCAGATCCTCCCGCCCCCACTCATGGGTGAGACCACACAGCTATCAGCCACCTGATGTCACTATGATCTCGGGATGATTGACTCTGCCCATCTGTCCAAGTTGGCCACAGAGTAGGGGGAAATAAAGATGTGGCCCACCAAGCCAAAATAGATTCTTCATTCTTGACTTAGACATTTCGTTTGCCTTTTACTAGACACTTGTTGTTTTACATCTGGATTCGCAGGACACTACAAAGCACCTCAGGAGGTGCCCATGCCCATACAAATCCTGCTTTGCTTCAGATAAGCCCCAAATCATTCTGAGGCATTTCACCTCAGCTCAAGCGTTGTCCAAAAATGATGTGCAGCCCTAATTCTAACCCTCATTCCCCACCAGGAAAAGTATTTTCTACACGCCCTCCCTCCATCAAGTATGTCTACCTCACTGTTCTCCATTCTTGCATGGCTGCTAATTCCCTTAACAGTCTTAACAGAGCAGAGCTGGTGCCATATTCATTGCTCAGAGATCCCACCAATTACTTACGACCCAGTGGATTTTGCTAGATTGACGAGCTCATCAACACTCAAATCTGTGGAAGTATTAGATGCATTATTTCTGCCTTTCCCAATCATCAGCAAACATGAGTCCTTCAGTTTTTGTTCCTTTGACACAGCAATGATCAGCTCATGCCACCAAATTGGGTTAGTCAATTCAGACTCTGAAAAGAGATACACATAATCTATTCATCTGGGAATGAGGACTCCACTTTCCCTTTGAAATACATTTTCCACCCAGGAGGCATAATGAATATTTATCTAGTAGTAGAAAATTAACAAAGTAGAAAGAGAGTGTAAGAAAGAGTTGGCACAAGGAAGTGAAAGGAAGGACACTGGACTCTCCTTGACACAGATCAAATCACTTAGGGCAGAGATGGAGAACTTGTACTCTCCAGATGCTGTTGAACTCCAGCTCCCACAAGCCCAAACCAGCCAGCGGTCAGGGCTGACGAGAATTCAGCAACATCTGCTGGGCCACAGGTTCCCCAACCCTGAATGAAGCCAACATCTTCCCATTCCAGGTGCTGTTAACTTCTGTCAGCACCAGGGGGTGGGGGCAGAAATTCAATTCTGGTGCCATTTAAAGGCAAAACTTTGAAATTCATTCTTTCTGAAACATTATGAGAACCAAAACACAGCCATCCTTTGAAATTTGCACGCATCCAAATGTTGCAGTACAATTATCCAATCAACCAATGTTTACAGAAAATGCATTTATTAGGGGAATGAGTGCATAGCAATTATTGCATCAATGAAAATAACATACAAAAATGTATTATATTGAGTGAAATTGCTTGGGAGAAATTGGCACTACAATACTGAACAATTTTCATGAGGAAATTCTTTTTTAAAATATCACAGATAGCTGCAGAAATATGGAAAACTTAATTTTAAGATTGGAGAAAAGAGAAGCCGAAAGAACTGAAATGGACATATCCATTCCTAATCACCACCTCTCACCCTCCAAGCTGAAATCCACAGACACACAAAAACCATTTTCTTTGTGAAGAATTGTAGTACTGGTATTTTTTTACAATTTCATTCACCACTCACATTGGCATTTCTCTTGGTTATAGCATCATTCCATTACTATGATGAGCAAAAAAAGGTGGGAGAGTCTTTTAAGCAGGGATGGGGAAATCTGTCAGCTTTGGTATACCTGGCTCCCATTTTTTAAAATGTAAAGTTCAGTTGTCCACATTTCCACAGCAGTTTGTCTATCTATATCTATATCTATAACATCTATATCTATATCTATATCTATATCTATATCTATATCTATATCTATATCTATATCTATATCTATATCCCCATGCATTTTAATGTACATTTGACCTAACATTGAAATTTTTGTATACAATTTTGCCTAATCTACACATTTTTGCAAAACAATGTCTCCTAATGAAATGCATTCTTGTGTGTGATCTTGACTACAATATGTTCATTTTTGTTCATATTACTTGGCTGTATAATGGCATTGCAAACTCTGGAGAAATGTGAATTTCAAAGGATGGCTACGATTCAGTTTTCATATGGCTTTGGGAATTGCAAATTAGGTAGGTTGATCTCCAAGTGCGAACTGAATCTAATTTCCCACCCATCCATGGTCGTATGTCATCTGGGAAGTGAGTTGTCCCTGCAGGATCACTTTAAAAGAGGGGGGGAATGTACCCCTCCACACCTGTGCTGAGCAGAAAGTTAATGCAAACAAATGGTAGTCCCACTGTCTGAGTTAGGTTCAAAGAAGAGCCTGTATCCGCATTAGGCCTGGTAAGTATTTCAATATACAGTGGTACCTAGGGTTAAGTACCTAATTCGTTCTGGAGGTCCGTTCTTAACCTGAAACTGTTCTTAACCTGAAGCACCACTTTAGCTAATGGGGCCTCCCGCTGCTGCCACGCCGCCGGAGCACGATTTCTAGGGATCCAGCCTTTTTCATCTATGCAAACTAATGTAAGGATCACTCTGTCTATAGAGACAGCTGCAAAGAGGCATGTTCACGTAGCCATCACAAAAATTACATCCCTTCCCCTGTCATAAACATTCCTCACCTTTGTCTCAAGTGCACATGAAGAAACAGCGTCTCCCCCAACTATTTATGGTAACTTTTCAGTTCTTGAGAGTAAAAAGGAGGATGAAACATACAATACTGTTTATGCATTTTCTGTTTAGACCCATGGCCTTGCTTTTTTTGCTCCATAACTGATTCAGTTTCCCCCAGAAGGTAGGAAGAAGCAGTGGTTTGGATCCCTTTCATAACTAGCCACGGCAGACCACAGGACTAGTACTTACTGCCCCTCATGTTTCTTTGCTTCCCACAGAGTGAATCACACCCACCCAGCAGCCTCCTCAACAGCCTAGCCTTCCTCCCTCCCACCGCTGCACCCCCTCAAAGGGAAAGAGCAGTAAGGAGATTGATTCTACTCTCACCATTCAGCCACTTCAGTGAGGTCATGTTGAGCGTATAGACAGTGGCACCCCACTTATCCTCCTTCTTCATCAGGGTGTATCTATAGTGAGGGTCATACTGCTTCACGTAGACATCCAGGGCCTTCTGCTCCACCATCCATCTAGAGGGCAGGCAGGCTGCCAAGAGAAGGAGAGCAGCATACATAGTCAAGCAGGTACCTTGGCCTTGAAAGAGGTGTGTGACTGTGTCCAAGTGACAGGAGTTGTCCTGCTTCAGATCACAGTTGCAGCGGCGTAGCGTGGGTTGTCAGCACCCGGGGCAAGGCAAGTAATTTGCGCCCCCTAACCCGTGGATTTGCGCCCCCTAACCCTAACCCCCAGATGTTGCGCCCGGTGCGGCCGGCCCCCCCCTGCACCCCCCACGCTACGCCACTGCACAGTTGCTACCAGCGGATGGAAAAACCCTGCTTTCCTCTAGAGCAGTTCACTCCATAAACATCGTCAGATGTTTCCTCCTTATTTATAATGATCCCTTATCAGGGAGGCTCCTGGTTAAGATGGGTGAGGTAGCATTTAAGCAGACTGATTCAAATCATGCTGAGGAGGAAGTGTGCTAGTTACTGTACTCTTCACTGGTCTCTTGCCGCAAAGCACCCTCCAACTCATCAATTCAGGTTGGAGCCAGTGGGTGCTCTGTTCCACTTGCACCATGTGTCTGCCCCCCACCTAAGCACATTTCGGGGGGGGGGCATTTCGGCATTGTAGCATGGCAGCTCCCATTTCACAATTCAAAGCTGGCTTTTTGGATGGAACAGGAATTGTTTTCAAACTTTATTTGGCAGCAAGTGCTTCCTGCCCTCTGCAGTTGCAGTGCAGAACAAGAGTGCAATCTCCCTCTCCCATGGTTTTCCAGTAGACCAGACACATGTTGCCTCATAGCCTGTACACAGCCAGCATGACTAGGAGCCCTGGACAGTCAAGGATTACTAAGGGATTTGACTAATTCCTTTGCAAAGCCATCTTCACACCATCCACAATCTATATATGTCTTTTTGAGGTGTGGTGAGTGACCAAAACTGTCTAGATTTGTACGTGACTATGATCAATTTCAGTTTTGATCCCTTTCATAACAATCCTTGCCATAGAATTCACTTCTTTAACAGCTACAACAGATCTAGTCAATATTTTAACTGAGGTGTTTTTTTCCTCATTAAGATGTTTATTAATTTTTTCACGATTTTCTACAGTAAGATATAGAAAACAAATGTAAATAAAATATAAAAATGTAAATAAAATATAAAAACAGCTACAAAAAGTTTTTAAAAACGAGTATGGAGTGCTATCTTAAGGGTAGTTCTTAACAGTTGTTTACCGCAGCTTTAAGACCTCTTTCTTTTTGATTCTGCCATTTCAAACATATATGTTAAGGGGAATGTAAATTGAGTATAAAAAGCCTTGTGGAGAATGCAAAAGTGAGTGATCCATGAAGAAAGGACAGCTACAAAAAGTAAAAATGGAGTAGAGTCCTCTCTTGAGGCTAGTTCTTAACTGAGAACTAGTTTCTATGATATAGAAAACTGTGTGTGGAATATCTATCTCTTGTTCAGGAGTGCGCAATCTGCAACCATCTCTTTCTACTCTACAGCATACTTTCCTACAGAGCCCACTGCCTTTTGCCCCAGCTGACACAACATATTCTCAGTTCCACTAACATCTTTTTTAGGAGCCGGGGACCCTGATATTACAATATCATGTTAGGATTTTTCATAATTGGATGTACTCAACTCAAACTTCTACAAGCATTTCCAATCCAATCTCCAACTGCCCTGCAGTTCCCCAGAAGACAAGGAGCTTCAGGTTCTTTCCCAGTGTGAGCTTTCTGTCCTCATTCTGGTCCCGAAAAAAGATTGTGCCAATTAAGATATTTCATATGAAATGCTTGCCTTGCCAGATTCTTTCTATACACAGGTGTTGCCTCAGGCTGACAGAGGTGCCAGTGAATGTTGCTATTGCTGTTATTTGGAAATGAATATGTAATTGCTTGAGGAAGAGATTTGCAGCAATGCCGGGAAGAGCTTCTACCTTTGCCAGGAAGGGGTGAAGAACTAGAATGTAAACAGTACCATGGGCAAAATCTGGTAGTTCAAAGCGGCTGCCAAGCTGTAGGTGTAAGTTCATGTAAAAAAAAGGAAGGCATTCTTGGGTGAGGCAGAGAGAGCTCCAGGATGAAGGCCCAGGACACTGGCCTGCCATAATTCCCTGACTGCAAACCAACAGATGCGGCTGGCTTATTCTGAGTTGTGGCACTGGTCTATCTCAGCTCATTCTTTCCATTTTGACTAGCAGCAGCTTTCCAAATCCTTGAGTCAAGAGTGACTCCTCCCAGTTCAGCCCTGTCCTACAGGAAGTCTTTCAGACTGGAGGTCCCAAGTGGCAGACCTGGGAGCTCCTGCGTTAAAATATGCCCAGTTCCCAACTGGCCATTATAACTTTAAGAACTGAGCTTGTTCATTTTCCTTCCTATACCCTTTTCCTTTTATGTCATCTACTTTTGGTTGTTTTTCATTGATCTGTGAAACTGCTTTGGACCCTCAAGCCTAGGGGTCAAATGTGGACAAACCCCTCAGGATTCTTTGTAACCTCTGCATCTTCTCCAGGCCACAGCTCACAAAGGCCCTGCTGTGCACCCTCCGTGAGTCATTTTGCCTGTCCAGAATGTGTCTTTGCACTGTGATAACTTCTTGCTTGCCTGAAGGAAGTGTGCAATGAACACACATCCATGCAATGCGTTGGTGGGGAAACTGTGGGCCTCTAGATGTCACTGGACTACATCTCCCATCATCCTTCACTCTTGGCCCTGCTGGAACTGACAGGAGCTGAAGCTGCAACCCAGCTCAGTTGGCAGAGCAGAAGACTCGTAATCTTAGGGTCAAGGGTTTGAGCCCCATGTTGGGCGAAGATTCCTGTATTGTAGGAGATTGAAGACCCTTGGGATCCCTTCCAACTTTCCAACTCTTCCAACATTATTAACATTTTTGAGACACAGGCTGCATTTGAAGTACTTGTGTGAGTGTTAACACTTCCCAAAAAACTTGTAACAATTACCTCAATTGCTTTTGTTGTGCTGCATTGCTAATGTGTAACAGAGACTTGGTTGGACGTGGCAGATCAGCATGTTCTTGCCACAGCTTGTCTGCCAGGTTTCTCTTCCACACAGCAACCCAGGTCATGTGGGCGGGGAGGCGGTTGCAGTGATTTTTAGGAGGTCATTAGCTTGCACCAGACATCCTATTGGGGAGAAGCAGTTTTCTGAGTGCACGTTCTGGAAGTTGGGCAATAGGGGCAGTACAGGATTCCTGCATCCAGCAGCAGTACCAACCTTCCCGCTGCACCAAGGATTCCCTGCCTGAGCTGCTTCAGGTCGTGGTGGATGTTCTCCTAGAGACACCTAGCTTGATTGTCATGGGGGATTTTAGCATCCATGCTGACACAACCTTACAACGGGCCACTCAGGACTTCTTGGAAAGCATGGCCTCCATGGGGCTGTCCTTGAATAAGTTTGGCCCAACTCATAGTTGCAGACATGCCTTAGACCTGGTGTTCACCTCTATAGATGTGAGTGATCTGACACTAAGTAAAAGCGAAACAAAAGAAGTGTCATGGTTGAACCACTTCCTAGTGCAACTGGACTTCTCTGTGACCCTTCCCCTCTGCAGGGAGGTGGGACCGATTCAGGTGGTCCACCCCTGCCACTTAATGGATCCAAATGGTTTCCAGAGGGTAGTAGGGGCTGTCTTATCCCATGTTGATGGCTCTCAGCTGATTCCCTGGTGGCCTGCTAGAATGCAGATTTAACCAGGGCTATCGACTGTCTCCCCTTCATGGATCACTGCCTTGCCGTGGCGAAGGGGCTTGAATAACTCAGAGAAGCTATGAGCTATGCCGTGCAGGGCCACCCAAGATGGACAGGTCATAGTGGAGAGTTTTGACCAAACGTGGTCCACCTGGAGCAGGAACTGGCAAGCCACTCCAGTATCCCTGCCAAGAAAACTCCATGGACAAAGACAACAGGCATATAAAAGTTATGACGCTGGAAGATGAGCCCCTCAGGTCGGAAGGTGTCCAGCATGCTACTGAGGAAGAGCGGAGGACAAGTACAAGTAGATTCAGAGCTGATGAAGCGGCTGGGCCAAAGCCGAAAGGACGCTCAGTTGCGGATATGCCTGGAAGCGAAAGGAAAGTCCAATGCTGTAAAGAAAAATATTGCATAGGAACCTGGAATGTAAGAACCATGAACCTTGGTAAGTTGGATGTGGTCAAAAATGAGATGGCAAGAATAAATATTGACATCCTGGGCATCAGTGAACTAAAATGGACAGGAATGGACGAATTTAGTTCGGATGACCATCATATCTACTACTGTGGGCAAGAATCCCGTAAAAGAAATGGAGTGGTCCTCATAGTCAACAAAAGAGTGGCAAAAGCTGTACTGGGATGCAATCTCAAAAATGACAGAATGATCTCGATACGAATCCAAGGCAGACCTTTTAACATCACAGTAATCCAAGTTTATGCACCAACCACTGGTGCTGAAGAAATGGAAATTGACCAGTTCTATGAAGACTTACAACACCTTATAGAAATGACACCAAAGAAGGATGTTCTTCTCATTATAGGGGATTGGAATGCTAAATTAGGGAGTCAAGAGATAAAAGGAACAACTGGCAAGTTTGGCCTTGGAGTTCAAAATGAAGCAGGGCAAAGGCTAATAGAGTTCTGCCAAGAGAACAAGCTGGTCATCACAAACACTCTTTTCCAACAACACAAGAGACGACTCTACACATGGACATCACCAGATGGGCAGCATCAAAATCAGATTGATTATATTCTCTGCAGCCAAAGATGGAGAAGCTCTATACAGTCAGCAAAAACAAGACCTGGAGCTGACTGTGGCTCAGATCATCAGCTTCTTATAGCAAAATTCAAGCTTAAACTGAAGAAAGTAGGAAAAACCACTGGGCCGGTAAGATACAATCTAAGTCAAATCCCTTATGAATACACAGTGGAAGTGAGGAACAGGTTTAAGGATTTAGATTTGGTGGACAGAGTGCCTGAAGAACTATGGATAGAGGCTCGTAACATTATACAGGAGGCAGCAACTAAAACCATCCCAATGAAAAGGAAATGCAAGAAAGCAAAGTGGCTGTCCAATGAGGCCTTACAAATAGCGGGGGAGAAGGCAAGCAAAATGTGAGGGAGATAGTGAAAGATACAGGAAATTGAATGCAGATTTCAAAAATAGCAAGGAGAGACAAGAAGGCCTTCTTAAATGAGCAATGCAAAGAAATAGAGGAAAACAATAGAATGGGAAAAACCAGAGATCTGTTCAAGAAAATTGGAGATATGAAAGGAACATTTCGTACAAAGATTTCCATAATAAAAGACAAAAGTGGAAAGGACCTAACAGAAGCAGAAGACATCAAGAAGAGGTGGCAAGAATACACAGAGGAACTATACCAGAAAGAAATGGATGCCTCAGATACCCCAGGTAGTGTGGTTGCTGACCTTGAGCCAGAAATCCTGGAGAGTGAAGTCAAATGGGCCTTAGAAAGCACTGCTAATAACAAGGCCAGTGGAAGTGATGATATTCCAGCTGAACTATTTAAAATTTTAAAAGATGATGCTGTCAAGGTGCTACACTCAATATGCCAGCAAATTTGGAAAACTCAGCAGTGGCCAGAGGATTGGAGAAGATCAGTCTACATCCCAATCCCAAAGAAGGGCAGTGCCAAAGAATGCTCCAACTACCGCACAATTGCACTCATTTCACACGCTAGCAAGGTTATGCTTAAAATTCTACAAGGCAGGCTTAAGCAGTATGTGGACCGAGAACTCCCAGAAGTGCAAGCTGGATTTCGAAGGGGCAGAGGAACCAGAGACCAAATTGCAAACATGCGCTGGATTACGGAGAAAGCTAGAGAGTTCCAGAAAGACATCTACTTCTGCTTCATTGACTATGCAAAAGCCTTTGACTGTGTCGACCACAGCAAACTATGGCAAGTTCTTAAAGAAATGGGAGTGCCTGATCACCTCATCTGTCTCTAGAAATCTCTATGTGGGACAAGAAGCTACAGTTAGAACTGGATATGGAACAACTGACTGCTTCAAAAGTGCGAAAGGAGTACGGCAAGGCTGTATATTGTCTCCCTGCTTATTTAACTTATATGCAGAATTCATCATGCAAAAGGCTGGGCTGGATGAATCCCAAGCCAGAATTAAGATCGCCGGAAGAAATATCAACAACCTCAGATATGCAGACGACACAACCTTGATGGCAGAAAGTGAGGAAGAATTAAAGAACCTTTTAATGAGGGTGAAAGAGGAGGGCGCAAAATATGGTCTGAAACTCAACATCAAAAAAACGAAGCTCATGGCCACTGGGCCCATCACCTCCTGGCAAATAGAAGGGGAAGAAATGGAGGCAGTGAGAGATTTTACTTTCTTGGGCTCCATGATCACTGCAGATGGTGACAGCAGTCACGAAATTAAAAGACGCCTGCTCCTTGGGAGAAAGGCGATGGCAAACCTAGACAGCGTCTTAAAAAGCAGAGACATCACCTTGCCAACAAAGGTCCGTATAGTTAAAGCTATGGTTTTCCCAGTAGTGATGTATGGAAGTGAGAGCTGGACCATAAGGAAGGTTGATCGCTGAAGAATTGATGCTTTTGAATTCTGGTGCTGGAGGAGACTCTTGAGAGTCCCATGGACTGCAAGAAGATCAAACCGATCCATTCTTAAGGAAATCAGCCCTGAGTGCTCACTGGAAGGACAGATCCTGAAGCTGAGGCTCCAATACTTTGGCCACCTCATGAGAAGAGAAGACTCCCTGGAAAAGACCCTGATGTTGGGAAAGATGGAGGGCACAAGGAGAAGAGGACGACAGAGGATTAGATGGTTGGACAGTGCTCTCGAAGCTACAAACATGAGTCTGACCAAACTGCGGGAGGCAGTGGAAGACAGGAGTGCCTGGCGTGCTCTGGTCCATGGGGTCACGAAGAGTCGGACACAACTAAATGACTAAACAACAACAACAACATCGACTGTCTGGCTCCGAAGCACCCTCTCCGATTACATGGAACCTGGATGGCCCCATGGTTTACCCCAGAGCTGAGGGCAATGAAACAATTGCTGAGACAGCTAGAGCGCCGGTGGAGGAAAACTCGTTCTGAATCAGACCAAAAACGGGTTAGAGCTCAACGTCGAGCCTACCAAGTGGCAATAGTGGCAGCAAAGAGGACCTTCTTCACTGCCTCTATTGCATCTGCAAAAAACAGCACCAGGAGACTCTTTCAGGTGGTTCGTAATCCTAACCAAACCACTGTCACCATTGGGGCCTGGTGAGGACCACAAGATCTCCTGCAATAATTTTGTTTTTTGCACTCAGATTCGGAAAGAGGTAGACTCTACCATGGGAGCAGGACTGGGGCAAGAGAGGGCTAGAGCCCTGTCTAGCCAAGTTGCATGGGATCAATTCCAATCTGTTACCTCTGAGGATATGGACAGGCTGCTTGGACGAGTGAAACCGACCACCTGTCTACTTGAGCCTTGCCTATCCTGGCTCATAAAAGCGAGCCGGGAAGGGCTGGGTGATGGGCTCCGCAGTGTGGTGAATGCTTCCCTCTGTGAGGGAGTCTTCTCAGACCTGCTTAAAGAAGCAGTCATCAAACTGTTTCTTTGAGAAAACATATTTGGACCTGGCCACTATGGCCAACTATTGCCCGGTCTCAAATCTTCCATTCTTGGGGAAGCTAGTTGAGCAGGTGGTCGCTGAACAACTCCAGGCACATCTGGAAAATGCGGATCATTTGGATCCCTTCCAGTCGAGATTCAGGCCCCATCATGGGACTGAAACTGCCTTGGTCGTACTGGTCAATGATCTCTGGCAGGCTAGGGACAAAGGTGAATGCTGTTTCCTGGTTCTGCTGGATATCTCAGGGGCTTTTGATTCCACTGATCATCCTTCTGGACCATCTAGAGGAGTTGGGAGCTGGGGCCACTTTTATGCAATGGTTCTGCTCCTTCCTCCTGGGCCATGTCCAAAGAATGGTGTTGGGTGATGAGTGTTCAGACCTCTGGGCTCTCACTTGTGGGGTGTCTCAGAGCTCCACCTTTCCCTCATGCTTTCCAACTTCTATATTGGAAGCAGCTGGGAGAGATCATCCCAGTGAAAGCCGCTAAGTTCACCAGCATGCGGATGATACTCAGCTCTACTTCTCTTTTAAATCAGAACCAGTGAAGGCGGTGAAGATCCTATGCGAGTGTCTGGAAGTGGTTGAGGGATGGATGGCGGCTAACAGATTGAGGTTGAATCCCGACAAGACATAAGTACTGTTTTGGGGGAGGGCAGGGGGTGGGTAGGTGTGGGAGACTCCCTGGTCCTGAATGGGGTAACTGTGCCCCTGAAGGACCAGCTGTGCAACTTAGGAGTCATTTTGGACTCACAGCTGTCCATGGAGGCACAGGTCAATTCTGTGTCCAAGGCAGCTGTCTACTACCTCCACCTGGTACACTGGCTGAGACCCTACTTGCCCACAGACTGTCTTGCCAGAGTGTTGCATGCTCTGGTTATCTCCCACTTGGACTACAGCAATGCGCTCTACGTGCGGCTACCTTTGAAGATGACTCGGAAACTACAACTAATCCAGAAGGTGGCAGCTAGACTGGTGACTGGGAGTGGCCGCTGGGACCATATAACACTGGTCCTAAATGATCTTCACTGGCTCCCAGTACGTTTCTGAGCACAATTCAAAGTGTTGGTGCTGACTTTCAAAGCCCTAAACAGCCTCAGCCCAGTATACCTGAAGGAGCGTCTCCATCCCCATCATTCAGTGAGGTCTTCCTCCAAGGATCTTCTGGCAGTTCTCTTACTGAGAGAAGTGAAGTTATAGGGAACCAAGCAGAGGGACTTCTTGGCAGTGGCGCCCTCCCTGTGGAATGGCTTCCCATAAGATGTCAAGAAGATAAAGAACTGCACAACTTTTAGAAGACGCCTGAAGGCAGCCCTGTATCAGGAGGTTTTTTTATGTTTGACATTTTATTATGTTTTTATCTGTGCTGGAAGCCGCCCAGAGTGGCTGAGGGAACCCAGTCAGATGGGCTGGGGATGATGATGATGATTGCTCTGAGCCATTTAGATTGTTCATAGTCGAGAAACGTCTGTAAGCTTTATGTATTTGTGAGAAGTGTTCCCCATTATACATGCTTTTTTAAACCATTGCAATGAAGAAAAAACCTTCTGTGGTGGGAGATATCACAATGACAGAGTCCTGAGTCATATCTCCTTGTTTAGGAATGCACAACTAGACATGGTGGAAACAAACCAATTTCTTTTCATATGTCTTCCCTGTCTGCATATAAAGAAGGGAGCAGCGTTAAAGAAGGGATATGCGTAAACTTTGGGGGAACTCAGCTCCTCAAATATTTTATTGGGGAGCCAAAGGGAGCTCAGCCCCTAGGAGATGGCGCCTATGTCTTTTGGTATGTACAGCTCAGCTGCATATAGTAAACTCTCAAGCTAATATGCACATTCTCCAGTCAGTATGCATAGCCTCCAAGAAACAACCTTGTGTTCTATGTCTCTAGTGCAGAAATGTGCAATCTGCAAATCTCACATGGGCCACAACATACCTGCTCAGCTGATGAACACCCACCCCCACCAGCATCCCAGCAGAAATTAAGCTTGGGGAAAAGCTTGAGGTGAATCAACATTGGGCTTGGAGGGAAGAGTTAAGCAGCTGAGGAAGGGAAAAGAGGGCTGGGAGAGAAAGGGTGTGAAGTACAGATGTGGTACCATTCACTCCTTCGAAAATCAGTGGGAGACTGTATGTTATGTGATGGTATACCTGGGTGGCAAACTTTTGGTATGCCTGATTGTTTGGGCTAGCAATTAGTCATGCACAAAAAATCTGAAGTGTTCTGCTTTTGCCAGAGTTTTACTGTTTTCCTGAGACTCAATGTGATTTTCACTCATTTGGGAATCTCATATCATATTGAATTTCCTCCTTGCAATACACATATGCCTTCAAAACACAAGAAAATGTCACCAAATGCACAAATGCCAGAAACAAGCTATATTTGATAATGGAGGGAAAACCAGCAAGATGGGACTAGGACAATGGAAACCCCTGCAGGTGATATTAAGGCATATTCATGTTTTTAGTACTGTATCCCCATTTAGCAGAATGGATTCTAAAGGCAGGTGATAATAGCTAGCCAAAGAAGTTAAGCTGTTGGTCTGTGCCTTGTGCAGAATTTGAACTCAATCACTTTACATGACAGTGGTAATTAATTACTTAGATTAGAGAATATTTAATCCCATTATGAGGTTAAAATGTCTTAAAAGTAAGATAAGGAATTGTACTGTTTGCATAAAATGGTCAGAAACTAGTACAGAGTTTCATTGAAGACTTATAAAGCATAGCTATATTCTTTATTATGATCCAGGGCACTGGGAATCAAAAAGGCACACTTTCCTGTGTCATATTTACTTGTTCATTATTCTATAGAATGAGCCCCTTCCTCTCATGTCTGATATTCTTCATAAATCCACCCTACCCATTCCCCATTCCCCACAGCCACAGCATCTGCTCCTTGGTTAGGTCTCCTGATCCTGAGTGACACCCCTGCACCTATTTCATGTTAGTTTAAGTGGGACCTGTCTGCTTTCTCTGCATGAGGTTCCTTCTCTGTCCATCCGCTTCTCCGCATGGTTTTCCAAATGCCTCTTATGTCTTCCCTCATGGATGCTGTCAGCAACAGGAGCCACATTTTCTCTGCAGGGTTTCACACCAGCGTCCCATAGCATCCTTCTCCACTGCAATCTGCACATGGAAAAGTGTCTGGGGTGATTTGAACCTCTGAGGTGAAAACATGCTTATCGTTCTCAGGTCCTTTGAAAGTTACCTGGAAAAGAAATGGCAGTTCTGCTCAATACAGTGGTACCTCGGGTTACATACGCTTCAGGTTACAGACTCCGCTAACCCAGAAATAGTACTTTGAGTTAAGAACTTTGCTTCAGGATGAGAACAGAAATCGTGCTCTGGCAGCACAGCAGCAGCAGAAGGCCCCATTAGCTAAAGTGGTGCTTCAGGTTAAGAACAGTTTCAGGTTAAGTACGGACCTCTGGAACGTATTAACTACTTAACCCGAGGTACCACTGTATGTTCCTTTGCAGAGAGCTGAATGGAGCAGGATTAGGAGTTTATAGCACAGAGATATCAAAGAAATGATGGATGCATCTTACTGCAGATTTTAGAAGCAGTGCCTAATCGCAGAATACGTCGTGCCTATTTATACAGTTGCACAACAGTCTTGGAGAACTTAGTTTCAATTAATATATGTATATTAAAGGGAATGTAAGTTCAACCGTTAATGTGCATAAAACCCGACATTGTGCACATTCAGCAGCCTTCATGGAAAATGTGCAGCCCGTGTTTCTATGAAGAAGAAATTGTGCACATTTCTTGGTCAATATGCATATTCTCTAATAAAGCTTGGGAAACCTGCCTATAGCGTCTGAATTCTGTGCAGTGTTAGCCATTATGCCTCCCAACAGGCTTTGGGGAATTTGCATGTCATACTTGAATGTTGTACATTCTCTGGCCAATATGCATATTCTCCCATCTGTATGTCTACTCTCCAAAAACATGCATGTTTTCTCTCTCTTGTTCAGTGTGTAATCTGTGTGTAATTCCCAACTGCTCTACCGGCTGTCTAATCTTATATGGCGCACAAAAACCCCTCCCACTGATCAGCAGAGCAGCAGGAAGTGCAGAAGGGAGTCCAGATAAAGATTATTTGTTTCTGCTTGCCATTTCACTTTTCACCATTCTCACTTGTTTCCCAGTCAGCTGAGCAGCAGGGGGAGGTTGCAGGGAAAGGAACGTTTTAAACCTCCCCTCCCTCTTCCACTATTCCAATGGAAATTGCCTCCCCCTATGCTGCTATTAAGCTAAGGAAAAAGCTGTGCAAGAATGAGTCAAATACTCGACTAAAGATTATATTTACCTCAATGAAGAAACCCTTCCATCCAAGTAATGGCTTTGACAATTCTGCTTTATAAACACCTGTTCCCTGCAAAGAGATAAGACAGAAGAAGGTGCTGAGAAGCGAACGTGTCATATTAAGAAATTATAGAATGTTCATTAGTGTGAATTTGAAGAAGAGTGAGCTGAGGTTCCTGGTTTGTGTCTTCCAAGGATAGGGAAGAGGGAGCAGTGGTGGAGGATGACCACAGATGACATAGCCCTTCTATCCAGGTGATCTTAAACCACTCTACATATTTCCAATGGCTCTGACATCCAACCTGCTTTGTTACATAGAGTAGAATAGGTTCTCACTCCTGCCTTAAATAAGTCAGCACTCTCTAGCTGGCCCTTGGGATTATCTCCAGGACACACACACCTGAAATCACACCCCTCACCAGCTGTGCTTTCCTCCCCACTTGGAATGTTTTTCCCTGACTGGAATGTGTCCTTGAATTCTGATAATGCTTCTTGCTTGGATGGATGGAGGATAGAGAAAGATGTGTGAGTGTGAAGAAACTAGGCTACTGCACAATGGTAGAATTCACATTGATTGCTCTGTTGACTTTTGCCTCTGACCCTGGCCTCCACAAAGCTGTGCAGAAGAGAATGTGGCTTTATGTCAGAAAGAGGTTCCTCACCCCTATTACGTGTGTAGAGACATACTCCCCACCACATTAGGGAGCCCTACTCCCTAGCATGGGGGATTTTACAACTGCAACATAAAGACAATGTTCTTCTGCTAGGTGCAGGGGAATGCTTTGGGTAACTCAGACATTGAAGGAATCCCATTATATTTATTGGTTTGATTGATTTCTTACAGATTCATTCAATTAATGTCCCACCCTTCCTCCTAAAGGAGCTCAGGGACTCTCCAGAATGGCCCTTCTGTCCACATGCTTACTGGTGAACATTAGGTTCTGCTCATCCAAAATGAAGTACCAGCTGTGGCCTTTCTGGTGCCTGTTATCATCACCCTTTGCAGCCACACAGAAAGCCTAAATGAATGTGCTGATTTGCAAATCTGCAAATATTCAATATCTGCAACAGAAGTCCAACTTTAAAGGAAGACATTTATTTCCCATGAACGGCTTTCGTGTTTGTCTGTGTCTTTAGGACCCTTGACATTCTCAGCTTTGTGAAGAAACTAAGGACATTCTAATCCTCTTACCACTTTAACAACATTGCAATCAATCCAAAGTGCAGGATTCACAATAATAAGGGAAAGCCTAAGTTGCCTGAAGTCTCGCCTGAGAATGAGAAGGGAAAGAAGAGATGTGGCATGAGCACAGAATAAATTGTTTTGTGGAGAAAAGTACTATCAACAATATATTATTTTTTTAGTTCACTGTTTGCGGCACAAGTAATCATGTTATTTATGGAAATTAAAGTTACTGTTTATTATACAAGGTTACTCACCCATCAGGATGGTTCTCTAATACAGTCAACCTGATCCAAAAGGTTCCAGAGTATCCATAATGACCGACTCAGTGATTCCTTTTGAATCTTTGTTAGTAGGATTTCTGGGGGGAAAGTACAGGGCTCCGCCTGCACTTTAAATATAAAGCAGTACCATACCACTTTAAACACCAATACTCTCTCCTGCAATAACCCTGGGGGCCATAGTTTGTTAAGAGATCCCCATTGCCCTCACAGAGCTTGACTTTTCAAAGTGCTTTAACCATCAGTCTCTTTTCCAGGAAATTCTGGGAATTGTAACTCTGTGAAGGGAATATGGATCTCCTAACAACTCCTAGGACATTAAACAAACTACAATCCCCAGGATTCCTTGCCTGGGCTGTGTGTGGAGCCATTACAGTGGTACCTTGGGTTACAAACACTTCGGGTTACAAACTCCGCTAACCCAGAAGTAGTCCCTCGGGTTAAGAACTTTGCCTCAGGATGAGAACAGAAATCGTGTGGCGATGGCGCGACGGCATCTGGAGGCCCCATTAGCTAAAGTGGTACCTCAGGTTAAGAACAGTTTCAGGTTAAGAACGGACCTCCGGAACGAATTAAGTTCGTAACCCAAGGTACCACTATACTGTTTAAATTGGTATGATGCTGTTTTTAATGTGCAGCACAGATGAGACCTAGAAGTTTGTGGAGCAGCTCTTTGCTGACTCATAGAAGCCAGTGGTTGGCTGGCTTGCTTGCTTGCTTGCTTGCTTTCAGGAAAATTTGGTAAGCTTTAAGAAAGACAGCGCCTCAGGAACTTTTTTTGTATGCAACGTTGACTTTGTATATTATTCCATATATTAATGAATTATATAAGATATTTCTGAAAGAAGCCTACTTGTTGGTGAGCCATGTGTTAGCAAAGAAACATCTAGTTTTTAAAGGCTCCTGATCTGTGGAGAGAGAGATGATGCCTTTGCCATTTGCCTAGAAAAAGAGAGAATAGCACAGAATTATCAAGTCTTCCTCCAGTTATCACCCATTCCTATTATCCTCCCAAACAGGAGGTGCAGAAAACAAATTTGTTTCCACAGCATATTTAATTCAACAGCAATCATTGCTTTAACTGGCTGTGTCATGCAATACCATATGTGAGATCAACCCAAATAGTTGCCACATACATAAAGGAAATGGAGAAGCTTGAAGTTTTGCTTGTGTTTTCAGGCTACGGCATATTCACCCTACATTTTTAGGTGTACAGTGAATATTTCTTCAAGCATATGACTAAAAATGCAATGCTGGCATGAGACAAATGTGTGTATTATGCATCTATACTCATCAGGGCCAGGAGTAACTGCAGCTGCATGTGAAGTGTTTATTCCTCGCAAGCTGAGAAAAAATTAATCAAAAACATCACACAAATGCACCAATACTTATGCTCACCTGGCCTCTCACCTGGCACTGAACCACTATGTCTGTGTTAAATCACTATGACTAAATTTAATATTTTAAAGAGTGGATACACTTTTAAAAACTAGAGTGATCAGCATCTCCTTCTTTTTGTCTGTTCAATATCTGGAGAATGTTTGGAATGTAGCACTTATTACAAATTGAGAGCCAGTATCACATCGTGGCCAGATTGCTAGATTTAAATCAGGAAGATACACTTCCAAATTCCTGCCCTGTTTAAGGAATGAGATTTAGGTTGGCCCCTTAATTACACAGCAACTCTGCCTCTCAAAAGGAGCAAACAGATCTCCATCACATTTATGCACACTAATCTATACATATAGGGGAAACCTGTGTGCCTGCTCAGTCTGTTATTTGGGTTTTAAATGTAAGTGGGTGATTCAAGGCCCCCAACCCTTTCTTCTTGGGTTTCTTCTTTATCTTAAAATGGCACTTGACCCAAGCTCTTCAGATAGAGGACACCAGCAAACCAAAAGTAGGGCTACCTTCTCTAAAATTGGGCACAGGGACCCCTTAGTGATCTCGAGCCATTCTGTTTCTCCCTCCTTGCTTCCTCTCCCTCTTTCTTGTGGGGAGAGCTGTGCTCAGATTTCTCATTAAAAAAAAAAAAAAAAGATAAATGCAGCCTGGAAGGGGAGGCAAATTTTAAAAAATTGTGTTAATGGATGTTAGGCCAACACGTTCCCGTCGCACGATTTCCACAATGAAAATCTCTTTCAAAACTGCTTATTGAAAAGCAATCATTCAGATGTCCTGCACCTGTGGGGCTTAAAAGCAGATGGGCAAGTGTGATTCCCATTCATGAGAACAGCCCGGTGAGAAATGATTTAGCTGCCTGCGCAGAGCATCACAACACCCATTGAAATCAATCCCACTGCACAGTTGTGTTTACCTCTTCTCAATGGCAACAATGCCCACATACAGGAAATACACAAAGCGAGATCCTCCCACAGTTTTCTCTTTGCCCATCATCCAAATGTATCTCACCAAGCTGTTGTAAGGATAAATGCTGGAAGATCTACACTCCCCTCAGTCTTCTTGAAGGAAGATGCTCTATCAGCTGAGCTATCCCAGTTATTGTTCCCATCGCACAATGAAAATCTCTTTCAAAACTGCTTATTGAAAAGCATACAGTTATTATCCCACATACAGTTATTGTTGCCTGATGACCGTCTTCAAAGCAACTACTCTATTCTGAACTTAAAAATGGAAAGTGTAATGCTGGTGGTCAACAAAACAGGTTTAAAGACTGTCTCAAGGCAAATCTTTAAAAAAATGTAGTATAAACACTGACAACTGGGAAATACTGGCCTGCGAGCACTCCAGTTGGAGAACAGACTTTACCAAAAGTGTCATGGGCTTTGAAGACACTCGAACTCAGGACACAAGGGAGAAACATGCTAAGAGGAAGGCATGCTTGGCACATCCACACCGTGATCAACTCCCACCCAGAAACCAAGGTCCCCACTGTGGAAGGACGTGTGGATCCAGAATTGGCTTCCACAGTCACTTACGGACTCATTGTTAAAACCGTGTTTATGGAAGACAATCTTACTCATCTACGAGTGATTGCCAAAGAAGATTGTTCTCATCATTTACTGGTAAAAGACAATATTAAGCAAGGCCTGTTTGCATACAATCATAACAACTTTCCTGCTTTCAGTATTTCTTTATCGTTAGTATTTTATTTTATTTCAAAATTCAAAGTTACATTTTGTCACCCAACAGTTGTAATCCTATTCTACATTATTAAGGACTTCCTGTTCACCCATCCTTGATGTTTATAACCAAGATTGCAGCCAAACGAACTTTAAAATTCTGATAGCTTCTTAGGAATCTTGAGCTCGACTGAGTATCCTTAGTAAAGGACCACACTTAATTTCTGTCTCTTAGGGACAACATGGATTCATGGCTTGGTCTAAATTACAGAACAAACTTCACGACTGAATTATTCTTGTCAATTGGTACGTAAAAGAAGACATGTATTCCTCACCTCAGACCTGTTCCAAGAAATTTGAGGCATGGTCAGATTCTGCATGGTGCTGAGATAAAAGGCTCTACACGATTCAAGGATAGATGCTCTATTCCATGGTAATAATGTTATACCGTGATTAGTGTTCGGGATGAATCTGCAGTGCAACAGAGAGGTTTTTACAAAAATACCTTCCTTGCAACAGTCTAAGGTAAAGCAATGACATGTTTCTTCTAATCACAGAAATTTGACTTTTCAGAGTTTTTCCTCCTTGGAAAGAATGCACACATATAAATATACAAAGAAAAAATCATTGCATCATCATTCAAAGCCTATATGAATTGTGCAGCAAAGATCTGCAGCTTTCTTCACTGGTACTATTGTTCATATTACACAAGTGGGTTCACACAACAGCTGAGGATCTGCTGTGCTTTCTCAGTATTGTCTCTCATCTGGGGCTCAAGCCATCTGGTCATTGCCTGTAACCAGAGGAATGATCTCATTGCCTCGAAAAGGACAGTCTGGTAATCTTTTGCAGCATGAACTCACCGGATATATTTCTTTCCTGGTAGCTCATCAAAGAAATAGTACGAGTCATCAGGCAGGAAGAAGTCATCTCCTGTTGATAAGATCATGAGCAGGGTCCTATTTTGGTATCGTTCTTTATATTCTGAGGATGGAAAATTTAATGTTATTTTAATGGGCAACACATGCAGTTCTCAAGTTGCTGCTCTGCTTATTTACATCATCAAAGGCTGGTAAGATTGGAAAACAAGAGAAATGGAGTAAAGATCACAAATCCCTAAAGAGCTGTAAACATTCTTTGGACAGGTGGGAACAAAAATAGAACTGGAAAACATGTTTAAAAGCCTTATTGTGGCAAACTAAGCCCATATTATTTTATTGTGGGGGCCCATGGCCCCTAGAAGTTGGCTCCTATGTCACAAACTCATAGTCTTCAGCCAGGATTTCACAGCTTGCTGCTATGCCTCAGATGAGGAAGGTCCTAGTTTACAGGATTGAGGGAAGGTTTCCAAAAGGAAAGTGGAAAAGGGGAGAGGACTTGATCTGGTTGACCCATTTCTTATCCCACTGCACGCCGACATATTTTCAGTGTTCTCCCTCTGCAAATATTTCAACGTTTTCACATATTTTTACAAGAAACAACAATCACTATTCAACAACCCCCTAATCCTCACTCCACACCAAATGGCCCTTTAATTAAATGGATGCCATGCTCTTCAATGTATCTTACATGCATTATAAGGTAAAGGTAAAGGGACCCCTGACCATTAGGTCCAGTCGTGACCGACTCTGGGGTTGCGGCGCTCATCTCGCTTTATTGGCCGAGGGAGCTGGCGTACAGCTTCCGGGTCATGTGGCCAGCATGACTAAGCCACTTCTGGCGAACCAGAGCAGCGCACGGAAACGCCGTTTACCTTCCCGCCGGAGCGGTACCTATTTATCTACTTGCACTTTGACGTGCTTTTGAACTGCTAGGTTTGGCAGGAGCAGGGACAGAGCAACGGGAGCTCACCCCGTCGCGGGGATTCGAACCGCCGACCTTCTGATCGGCAAGCCCTAGGCTCTGTGGTTTAACCCACAGCGCCACCCGCATCCCACATGCATTATAGTGCCACCAAAATTCCCTGGGGCTGCCCTTTCCCACTTATCCAATCCTTTCTTCTGCCACCATCTGATTCACCAGAGAAATCTGAGATGGTAGGAATTGCTCACCAAACGGATCAACATGTGAAGTTAATTCCTGGAACCGTGGGGTGTCCAACTGCCGAGTTAGATTCATGACATAGAAATGATACAATGCAACGCCCCAGCCACAGTATGATCGGTATTCATGATGCCAGTTCTGTAGCAAAGAAGTCACAAATGAATTCTATGTGCACATAGCAAGTGTCATATATTAAGAACCTGAAGTTCTATAGTATGGAGGACAAGATTTATTCAACTCTTTATAGCAAGGCTAGGCTCAGAGGCATACCTAGAGTCCCTTGTGCCCTTGTCAAGGAGCTATATTGGTGCCTCCCCCCAAAAAAATCTCAGAAGCAGGCAAGGTTGTCTGGATAGGAGGAAGGTGCCTTCTTAGGACTAGAGAGGGCACCCGTACTGCTCTCTGCCTGGAAGCCGCTCCAGGTGTAGGGTGTTCCAGGTGTTGTGGGAGGACTCCAACACCTGATAGGTTATTCTTGCACCCCATCCCCAGTTGGGCAGAGTTTGGATTCACCTACCCCTAGGTACACTTCTGGCTAAAATGATAAACACAAAACAAAACATGCCAATAAGTTATCCCCATCATAGTGCCAGCAGTCAATACCTATGGCTTTTTTGGTTATTTACTTAGGTTTCAACATCACATTTGTGAGTTCAGCTTTGCAGCTTGAGAGGAAGCTTAGATAGGCTAGTTTTAGCCTTTTAGGCGAGGGCCACCAGGTGGCGCGTTGGAAGATGGCCGACAATAACATCTCTCTGACCCATACAAGGTACTAAGGGGCTGCTATGGGAAGTATGCAGCCTTCCTAATCCCCCCCTGGATATGGGGGGCACTGTCCCGCCAGCGGTGTTCACAATGCACCCCCTGATACGAGAGATGGTGGTGCCGAACACTTGGCATAGGCCCTCGGTGAAGTCAGATCTTCCTGACGCTGATTCCAATCAGCGCGTGCTGGTTGCTTCAGCTCGGAATTATAATTGGAAACATACGATTGGAAATGAAGCTGAAAGCACATACATCAAGTAAAGCTCGACTGATAAGACTGCTGATTAATGGATCTCTGCGACCAGGAGTGACGGACGGATAAGTAAATCTTCTGATGAATTACCACAAGGAGACTGTATGTTTGGAACGAAGGGGGGTGGAGGAAAAAACTCTTTTTCTTTGCACGATGTGATATTAATAACCCTTCACCCCAGATAGAAACAAGATCGTTGCGTTTTTATAAATCATAGGCAGGATTTTAAGAACTATGTGGGATGGATTACAACAGGAGAGAAGACTGGTGAACGGTTAGAAAAGAGGAAAATTTTTATGACGCAGTTAAAAAATGGCGTCTCGCCAAGACAGGCTTGCCGGAGAAAGAAGGACAGGGGGAGGAGAATCAGGATCGTTCAAATGAGAAGGAATGTTGGAATGCAAGTCTGACCTGACAGAGCCCACAGACTCATTTGATTTATTTGGTAAGCCTGAGAAAAATAAAGGACAGAAAGGGGATTAATTTTGTTTATGGAAGCGTTGTACAGAGGCTGTCCCGGACCGATGATTTTTGGAAGAGTACAAAATCCACATAGAATGCCAGCTTTTAACCTGCTTGTGAAAATCATCAGAGATCGCAAAGAAAGGAATTTACGATAACAACAAGAAGAGAAAGGAAGTAATAAAGGACTATCCGGATCAAACTGGACAGAACTGTCTAATTAAAGCAGTAAGATAAGTGATGCTGTTTTGGACTCGTGCGGAGCTTGATGTATGGGTACCCCCAACAAAATTTAAAATTTGGCTGTATAATTTGGAACTAATGTGATATGGATAATGTGATGTGATTGGCCTGTTAATAAAAATTATTATTTTTAAAAAAGTTTTAGCCTTTTAGTTTAAGTAATCCAGAATGTGTTAAGGCAGACTAGATTTTCCTGCTATTTCCCCCTTTTATCCCCCTTAAGACAACAATCACATAAACAGTATTGTAAAATGTAAAAATAACATTCACTCAGAATACTTGTTGAAGAGTATCAGATACAGCAGCTTTGTTCAGGCAGGCTTAAAATGGTAATTCAGTTACTAAGACATACTTAATGTCTAGCTTAAAATGTAGTCTGATCTTGGAGCTCAGACTAAACAGATGTTTTCACATTGCTGGCAGAATGGAAAGAAATGGAGAGGAGGGTGTGCCCAGGCAGGTCGGAGAATATATAACTATGCCCTCCCCATGTCAGGGCACAGTGGGGGTATCTCTCACAGAGTTCTTTCTGGTAAGTTTACAGGAAAATTCTGTGAATTTCAGCATGTCTAGCAAAACATTAATTATTGATTTGACTGCATTTTAAATATTCTACACTTTGTCCCTCCCCAGCCTCATAACCAAACAGCTGTTAACCAACCAATATTTGGGGCCAGGATATTTGAAGGACCATTTTCCCTCCACAAATTTGCCTCTCCTCCCTTACAATCACTGGAGGGATTCCTCACTGTCCCTTGCCTTCAAAAGCATGGCTGATTAGGACACAGGACAAGGTCTTTGCAGCAGTGGTGCTGAGGCGGTGGAGTGCCCTTCCTCAGAAGTTTCACTGGCTCTCACACTTGTGGCCTGCCTGCAAATGGCCAACATATTCTTATTTGTCCAGAGTACTATGAAGGAACTATGAAGAAGACTCAAGACTAAGTACACACAGCTAGTACACCATCCTTTGAACAGATACTCACCTTAACAATATTCAAAAGATCATAGATAATTGGAATAAATGACTCAACTCTCTTGTCCACAGCTGCTGTCAGCCAGGTGGCCCAGCCACGCTGCAATAAAGACATAAAGCAAAAAGATGCAGAGGTATTCAGTTCCCACTGGAGAGCCCAAACATGGCATATACAGGTGAAATGGGGATGAGCATGCATAGGGTTAATTCTGGTGTGCCGGAAATCCAATACAGCACAGGCCTGCAGTCCATACCTACCTTGGAAAGACCAGCCACTGTGAACTTTGTGATATTCATCATTCCACCGGATTCTTTCAGCAGGAAATCTGCTACAGTGTCCATGCCACGCACAGCTGCCTGCACACAAGAGAAGAGGATTATAGTCTCTAGAATTTGAAGGAGATGCCTTTTGAGGCTTTTTTCTTTGTCTTTTTCTATTGTTGGTATGCTTTTTTTATTGTTGGTATGCTTTTTCTTTCCCTCTTTTTTCCCTTTCTCTAATTTTCCTTTCTCTAATTTTTTGTAGATTTGATGTATATGTATGTATGTATATTTTATATATACTGTATATGAATTTGAAGGAGATGCTTGCATTGGGTTTGACTATATCATTCTATCAGCATGGCATAATTTAAGTGCCCTCAAAAGGTGTTTCATCTTCATGACTTTAATATTCATTATGATTATTTATTAAATTTGTTCACTGCTTTATCTTGCCCAGAGCAACGCAAAACAACTTAAAAGCAAACAGACAATAAACTCCACATAGATACAAGAGGAAAGAGAAATACATTAAAAACATCCCACCCACTTCTCAAAGGCCCCGGATAGTTTAAGGACAAAGGCCTGGTTATAGAGGAAAGCTTTTGCCTGCCACCTGTAGTGAAGGCGCCAGGCAAGCCTCCCTGGGGAGAGAATTCCGCAAACGAGGAGCCACTGCAAAAAAGGCTCATTCTTGTGTTGCCAGCCTGCAGACCTCTTGTTCCAAAATCTCAATGGGCGATTGTAGCAGCAGAAAACAACTAATTTACCTGCTCCCATAAGATAACTGAGGGGTGCGGGTGGCGCTGTGGGTTAAACCACAGAGCCTAGGACTTGCCGATCAGAAGGTTGGCGGTTTGAATCCCCACGACAGGGTGAGGTCCCGTTGCTCAGTCCCTGCTCCTGCCAACCTAGCAGTTCGAAAGCACGTTAAAATGCAAGTAGATAAATAGGTACTGCTCTGGCGGGAAGGTAAACGGCGTTTCTGTGCACTGCTCTGGTTCACCAGAAGCGGCTTAGTCATGCTGGCCACGTGACCCGGAAGCTGTACGCCAGCTCCCTCAGCCAATAAAGCAAGATGAGCGCCGCAACCCCAGAGTCGGTCACGACTGGACCTAATGGTCAGGGGTCCCTTTACCTTAAAAGATAACTAGAATTTACTTAGCCATTCTGTAAAGGTGAAAACCTCAAGGGGGTATCCTTAATCCAAATACATTCAAATGCCACCATGCCCCTGCTCTAACATTCTCCTCCATGGGCCCATACATCCTCTGCCATGCCTCCTCTAGGCAACCACCACAAGTGCACCCCTGCATGGGCAAGTGGACACACACACACACACACACAACCACCACCACTGCAGAGGGCATGGGCATGTGGGAGCAGTGCACCTGGAGCACAGGAGGTGAGGTGCACCTGCAGAGGAGAAGGCACAGCCACGCCAGAGACACCAATGGCATAGTCATTGCGCCCAGACCTGTCGCCTGATGCCGCCATCTCACCTCGCCTCATGGGCAGACCAGCTCTGCTGGATTCTGCGATGCGCAAGCTGGTTTTATAAAGTGAAAGATATGTGCTCTGCAAATGTTACAGTAACTCTGCCAGCATTCAGGGGTTTCTGGAAACAATAAAGAATATTTCCCAGAATGATGGCAGCATGTGCTTGCCAGCCAATACAGAAAGCCAGAGTTACCTTCACCATTGGAAACTGAATCAGCACATGTGGCGGCTCACTCTCGTCGTTCATGAACTTCCACCACGAACAAACAAGTGCAGCATTTTCAATGCTGTTCTTGCACATTTGCAAAGGGATTGTCTAGAAGCAAAATAAGAGAAAGATGAGTATGTTTTTGGTTGAGGCATCCCATCTGGACCCCTAGTACAGCCTGAGAGGTCTGACTTAGTTCACAGAGAGGGGCACCAGGTGAAATAGGAAGGGAATTAGCTATCACTTGGACAATGTAAGTTCAGTTCTGTTGATGGATGGGTTGTTCTGTTTAATGTTGCCAAACCTGTCCAACAGACGATACCTCCCCTACCCCCACAAAAAATCCTGCATTTCTTTCATTTACACATATATTTGGGGCTAAACAGTCCTCAGTAACCATGACTGCAAATTGAAGAGGCACCAAACACAACCTTTAGGAACAGAGGTCCGGGTAAGGCACTGTCAAGTGGCTATCAACAACCCAGGTCATTCACAGGGCAGACACAGACATGGAAGGCAATTAGCTTTTTATTAGCAGAAAATGACAACACAGCAATGTTCCTGGTTCATCTTAGCTCAGTGGAGGTGTTGAAACAAAGCTCTGGACATGCCCTCCCCCCTCTGGCCTTTTAATCTGGATCACACCCAAGCAGATAAAGGTGGTGTTGAAGGGATAAGCTCCTCCTCTGGGCCTGTCTGGCCCATTGCTCAGCAATGTGCATGACACTCCTCCAGCGGGCGGGGGAGAAGAATCAACAGGACTGGGACTGTGCATGCACACTGTGATTCTCAGCCTCTAATCGTGTCCTGGAATGCCCTCCTTCTCCTGACCCCTCCCCTTTGATTGCTCAATTCTCCTGCTTCTTTCAGCTCCCAGCTCATCCCTTCTGCTGACTGCTTCTAGGTGTCCCACCACCAGTCTCTGGCCCCTAAGGCATCATCTGCAGAGCCCTCCCTGGAGGGCTCTTGGGTGGGTGGCTACCAGCTCTCCTCCTCATCCAACCAGGCTCTGCCATCCACAGGCCAGGATTGTTAAACTCCTAGTGATAAGGAGGCACAGTTGCCCCATGTACAACCCACTGGGAATGCAGTGGGAATCCATGGCTCCAGTATGTATCTGGGGAACATGCTCCTGCTGCTCTCACCTTCACCTTCTCTAAGGAGGTGAGCCCCACATGACTAAGGAGGTGAGTCCCACATTTTAATTCTAGTATTTTGAACCACATCTATGAAAGAGATAGTTAATTCTTAACAGATTATGAAATGTAATTAGCTTATAAAGAAAGGTTATTGGACACACTGCATATTTCTACTGGATTTTGCTCTGAGACTTCCCTCATTAGAGTGAAATTGGGGAAAGAGAATCTGTAGTAGAAGTTGCCAAAGGGAAAATGTGACAGCCACACCTGTTTCCCCATTTCCACCCAACCAACTGACTCCTACATGAGTTTGAAAGTCAGTGTGGGAAGTTCCCAGCATGGCTAAGATCCTAGAGCACGTACCTTGTAGGTGATTGGCTGGTTTCCAATCTGCCCCAAAAGTGCCGCACAGCTTCAGAGACAAAACAAAATATTAGTCAACAGCAGTAAATGCCGTGTGGGATCAACAGGCAATGATGCCAAAGAGACCAGAGTTAATAGCTCTGGGTAGCTTTGGAACAATCATGACTATGATTTTAACACTAAAATCAAGGCAAAGACAGAATTCAGGCAATATATCCGATCTTGTTTTAATTTATACGTATTTATTAGGGGGCTGGGGAAAAGATGAACTAGGATATGTCTCTGGAACATAGTTGTCTTGAATACAGTGAGCTGGATTAGTTATCTTCAGTCCATTTTTGTTTCTGGCTGTTTTATTAGCTATAACTTTTTTTTCTCCTGCAAAAACACTCACAGGTTGCAAAATACAGAATTTATCAATGTATGTGGGATAACCAACATATTTAAGTCTGATTAATGTATGAAGGGGTCAATACCACAGAGCAAACTGTTCTGCCACTTCCACTCACCATCGGAGGAACTAGGTATTCAAGGCTTTGTTCTCCCCCAGTCTACCTGAGAACCTCAATGTGTGAAGAGGTGTAAGCTCGTTGCTCCAGCTCAGACTACATCACTCTCATCAGCCACTCTTGAGTTCCTATACCAATAATTTGGGAACCACTATATAGCTGCCTCAAAGAAATCCTGCTTTGCTTCAGAGAAGCCCCAAATCATTCTGATGTATTCCTCCTCAGCTGGAGGGTTGTCCAAGTTTGATGTACAACCCGCATTCCCCACCAGGAAAAGTATTTTCTCCAAGTATTTTCTGCCTTGCAGTTCTCTATCCTTGTAGGGCTGCTAATTTCCTTAACAGTCTTAACAGAGCACAGCAGAGATGGTGCCAAATTCATTGCTCAGAGGTCCCTCCAATTACTTACGACCCAGATGATTTTGCTATATTGACAAGGTCCTCAACACTCAAATCTCGGTTACTAGACAGGTCATCATTTCTTCCTATCCCAAGCATCAGGAAACACGAGTTATTCATTTTTCGTTCCTTTGACACAACGACGATCAGCTCATGCCACCAAATTGGGTTAGACAATTCAGACTCTGAAAAGAGATACACAAAATCTATTCATTGGGGGATTTGGCCTTCCCCTTTGAAATACATTTTCCACCCAGGAGGTGTATTTATTTATTTATATTTATTTATCTACGTAGTAGTAGAAAAGTAACAAAATGGAAACAGAGTGTAAGATAGTGTTTGGTATCTCCCTTGTTTATATCATCATTCCATCTTACATGTGTGAGTGAGTTTCACTGTGATGACATGGCTCAGGAAGCGGGCTATGTTAGTAAGCGGTGAGGAGGACAGTATTAATGTTTTTTTTCTCTCTGAATGAAGAAGACATAGTGCAGCAGTAAATGGGCTCTCTGAATGGAAGAACAGATTGCAAGACTGAATGAGAAACTGGCATGGCCCAGTATGGCAAAGTACAGGCTGATTACAAAACTGGAAGTGCAAAAGATACAGGATTTGATTTAAAGCAAGAAGCTGCATTTTTCTAAGTGAAGCTGAGACTGTGCTTGGATAAGCATATGTTTTGTGAATGTGTGTGTGCATTCTTTTATCCTCTGTTCTTCAGGTAAAAGCTTTTGAATATTTAAGGAATGTATTGACCATACTTTACAGTAGAACCCTGTGTTACGGATGGGATCTGTTCTGGAGACCCGTCGGTAACATGGAACTGACGCAAGCCAAAGCGCCGTCTCTGCGCACATGCGTGGCACAATTTAGAGCTTCTGCTCATGTGCAAAGCGCAATTTAGCACTTCTGCGCATGCACGAGCGGCGAAACCCGGAGTAACCCATTCCAGTACTTCCGGCTTGCTGCGGGACGCAACATGAAAACACATAACCTGAAGCAAACACAACATGAGATATGACTATATGGGAGTCAGTCTTACATATGTTTTAGCTTCTTAGCTGCTAAATATTGCTACTCTGCAACATCCTTACATCCCACAGTGCAGATCACACCCACCCAGCAGCCACCTTCCCGGATTAGGCTCCCTGTGGAAATGTCTTCCTCTGTATTTCAAAACTGCTGCTCTCACCATTCAGCCACTTCAAGGAGGTCATGTTGAGGGTATAGATGCTCACATCAGGCCTGTCTTCCTTCTTTGTGACAGTGTAGTTGTAGTGAGAGTCATACTGCTTGACGTAGTCATCCAGGGCCGTCTGCGCCCATCCAGAGGGCAGGCAGGCTACCAGGAGGAGAAGAGAGAAAGCAGCATACATGGTCAAGCAGGTATAGTTGCCTTGAAAGAGGTGCCTGCCTTTGTTCAGCAGCAGTTCTCCCACTTCAGATCACAGTTGCTCCCAGCAGGAAAGTTCCACAAGGCTTGGTGGTGTATGCCAAAGCTTTCATCTAGAGCTGTTCTCTCCATGAATGTCACAACTTTCTCCAGTATCTATACAAGTCTCATAGCAGGGAGGGCCCTGTATCACATGGCCAAGACAGCATTTATGCAGATTTATCTAATGAGCGCAGGAAGTAATTCTGCCAGTTATTCTTCATTGACTTCCAGTCACAAAGCACCCTCCCACTTATCAAGTCAGGCCTGTAGCCAAACTTCTACAGTTTCACTTGGGACATTGGTTCACCTTCCCTTTGCACTTTTTGAAAAAGAGCTTTCGAAATGGTAAAATGGCACCTTCCAGTTAACAACTCACAACTTGCTTTTTAGAACCGAGCGGGAAATGTTTTGAGAAACTAATTAGCAGCAAATGCTCCTCCTTACCTGAAGTGGTGGTAGTCCAGTCTCCCTTTACTTACTTGATCTGCTCAGCAGATCTCAGTGGAGAAGCTGGTATAATGTGGGCTGGTTTACTGGCCAAACCCAAAAAGTGCTCACTAATTGTTCCTCGCCATCTTGGAAAAGGGTGACAAGTGGAGGGGCATAAGGTTCTGTTCTAGGCTTGTTGTTGTTCAAATTTGCAGATGGTACCTACTAGGAGGGTTGCTAATGCTGCAGAAGACAGAATCGGGATTCAAGATGACAGATTGGAGAACTGGGCCGAAACTAATAAAATGAATTTAAATGGGGCAAATCTAAAGTTCTGCATTTATATAGAAAGAACCAGTTGTACCGGTCTTGCCAATAGTATGTGTGAAAAGAATGTAGAAGTCTTAGTAGACTACAAGCTTAACATGAGTCAACAGTGTGATGCAGCAGCAGAAAAAGCTAGTGTTACTCGACAGAAGTATAGTATCGCAATCAAAAGTAGTAATAGTACCACTCTATTCTGCCTTGGTCAGACCATGCCAGACTGTGTCCAATTCTGGGTGCCACAATTTAAGAAGGATACAGTGGTACCTCAGGTTACATACGCTTCAGGTTACAGACTCCACTAACCCAGAAATAGTGCTTCAGGTTAAGAACTTTGCTTCAGGATGAGAACAGAAATTGTGCTTCGGGGGCGTGGCGGCAGCGGGAGGCCCCATTAGCTAAAGTGGTGCTTCAGGTTAAGAACAGTTTCAGGTTAAGTACAGACCTCCGGAATGAATTAAGTACTTAACCTGAGGTACCACTGTATTGACAAGCTGAAACGTGTGCAGAGGAAAGTGATCAAGATTATCAGGGTCTAGAAACCAAGCCATATGAGGAATAATTGATGAAGTTGGGTATGTTTAGCCTGGAAAAGAGGAGACTGAGAGCAGATACCAGGCCTCCTCCTGCAGCTGCTGCCACCGCGGGAGGGGCAAAGGGACCTCAGCATCTAGGAGTTGGCTCCTATGTGTGGGAGAGTTGCTTTGAACATTGTAAAATCTGAACATTTTAAATAAAATAAACGGAGATACAAGAAATATAGGTATCTTGACATTGCTTCTTCCCATTCATCTTCTGGTAAATTTCCCCTTCCATTTCCTTTTTTTGGGGGGGGAGAGGGAAGTGGTGACAATAACAAACAGCAGTAGCAAGGGGGGGCAGGAATCCTTAGCTGTGTTGCTTCTCTCCCCCCCCCCAAGACCACAGGCGCCAATTATGGGGGGCCGTGGGTGTGGATATTTTCACCCTCTCCCATTGCAAGAATCTCCTGACAATGTTTTCAGAAAGGAGGGGGTGGAAACTGCTTTTCGCTTCTTCCGCTCCTGCCTGACTCTGTTGGAGTCTGAGTGTTTTCTCTGTAAGTGATTAGATGGCTGAGTGAGAATTGTAACTGTTATGTACTGAAGTTCTCACCCTGGGCCAGCAGGGGGATACTGTAGATAGTTTTCACTCAGGTCCGCATATGCAAATAAGGAACTGAAAGTGACATTCAGTGATTGGATAGTTACAGAAAGTTGTTACTGTTGCTTTGTAGTTGAGCTCTATATAAGCAGGTTGGCTAAACCCTTCAGTTCAGTTTTGCTCTGGCCTGTAAATTAACAAGAGCTGTCTGAAGAATCGTTGTGTCATCTCATATGTTCACCCACAACTTAACAGTAACACTCATGCAGTCCAGTAGCCTCTTTTAGTTTTTAGTTTGCAGTAGCTGTTAGACAATAAAGGAGTTATGCTTCAGAGCTTTCTACCGTGTTATTCATACTCTGCTGAGTTTGGTGCTCACAATGGGTCCAGTGCACTTAGACCTGCTTTCCAGGAGTGGAAGGTCTCTGGAAGTGCTCTCCAGTTCACTAGCCCAGTCAGGGCAGAAGAAGTTGAGCCCAGTCGTTGGCATTGGCTCAAAGGCATACTGACAGTGGGGGGCCAATCCCCCCCATCCAAATCAGAGTGCCGGCCCCCCAACTTCTGTGACAGCTGTATGCGCATACTGCGGGGCATGCATGCATGGTACATTGACATCACGTGGCCCCTGTACCCCTTCAGTAATGGGGGGGCAAGGTGGCACATGTGTCCCTATCTGGGAGTCGTACCACTGCTGACATCCTTCCCACTCCATGCTCCAGGTGGCAGTGCCTGAGGCTGCCCTGTGGAGCCACAGTGAAGGGATGGAGCAGAAGGAGCTGGTCACTGAAGCTGCTCCACACTCAGCTCCATGCTTGGCTTCCTCCCCCCTCCTCAATTTTTTGGAACACTGGAGGGTGGCCTCCCCCCCCCAACAAAAATATTGAGGGAGGGGAGGCAAAAGAGCTTGGCCCGTAGGAGTTGGCAGCCCTGATCAGAGGTAGCCCTGAGACAGGCTGGTTAGCCCAGTCTTGCATCTACTAGAATAAACAAATATTCAATTATGAAGTGTGAGATGTTCTTGACAGAACCAAACAGCTCCACCTGGCTGATGAGGCGCCATGACAAATTTAAAATACAGAATTGCATTTACACCCTGTGAGATGTTACGGTAAATGGATTGGTTGTTACTGTAAATAAACCACGACTCGTGTGGTTTGGTTTGGTTTGGTTTGGTTTGGTTTAATTAGTTGTAATCTGACATGATGACTGAAATAGGATAGGTGCTGGGCATAAAATAACTTCATTAAATGTTGTTTTCTGAAACTTTCCCTAATTTCCTCTTCTTGAACAGCATTCTTGTTCAGTTGTTAGTTAGGCAATTTGACCTTACTGTAAGGTGATTGTATCATTGGCTGCCCTATGTTTCTCAGAAGTGCTTCCTAACAAAACTCCCCCCCCACACACAATCTTTATTGGCGCCACCCAAAACAAGACCACAGAACAAACTGTCACAATACCCAAGGTTCTGGGATTTCAGGTTCCTGATTTTCCCAAATTCTTCCCAGCTTTATTCACTATATATTCACTATATATAAGAAAATAGCAAAGTGCCTTGGTGTTGAGACTGTATATATGATCTAGGAGCTGCTACCCCTGCTCGCATTACTCACCCTCCCACCACATAGACCCACCCCTGGAAACCCCTCACCCACCATTTACCCCTCACCAACCTCCCTGCCACTCTCCCGTGTTAACCCCCTGGACAATGCTCTTCCCACTCCCACACATTATTCCACATTTTTGGAAGCCTTGCCCTTCCCGGTCCCAACCTTATAACGGCATAACTGAGGGGGTCCACTTACTTCAGATTTTTCTCCTTTGATTGACATACAACTTCCAAACACAATGAAATGGCACCAAGTTTAAAAAAACCAAAACCCTGTAAGAATACCTACCTGGCAAGAATCGTGTTATCTTTATCAAATGTGGAGATTTGAATGGTGACCTGGATGAACAAAAGGGTTGCATGAAGGGGGCCTCGTTCAGGATTCACATTTAAACAGTGCAGCATTTCAGGCAAGGCAGACAGATAGATGATAGATAGATAGATAGATAGATAGATAGATAGATAGATAGATAGTAGATAGATAGATAGAATTTTCCTATGATCCTAAAATCTAGGGATTATATTTTCTCCATGAATACAGATAACTTTGCTTCCCTTGCTTTGTTGCTTTTTAATATTTTATATTACCATGCCATTCTTTCTTCTGTCCTACCAACATGCTCTCTACAAACACTTTGCCTCACTGTGCTGAGACTTCCTTTGCATCCTCACCAATCCCACACACCCACATTTGCTCAGTGTGGTGTAGTGGTTAAGAGCGGTAGTCTCGTAATCTGGGGAACCGGGTTCGCGTCTCCGCTCCTCCACATGCAGCTGCTGGGTGACCTTGGGCCAGTCACACTTCTTTGAAGTCTCTCAGCCCCACTCACCTCACAGAGTGTTTGTTGTGGGGGAGGAAGGGAAAGGAGAATGTTAGCCGCTTTGAGACTCCTGAAGGGGAGTGAAAGGCGGGATATCAAATCCAAACTCTTCTTCTTCTATCACCTAGCTTGTTTTAAGCATTTTTATGTCCACCCCTTCTACTGCCTGCTTTTCTGAGTGCCTCTCATGCCTCCTCTGGCTCAGGGGTGATTACAGCAGCAAGAGCTGGAGGGTGCACAGCATTGCTCCTCTCCCTTGCAATCTGCGCATAGATAAGTATCTGGGATGATGTGAACCTCTGAGGTGAAAACATACTTGTTCCATCTGGCAAGCTGTGGTGCCTCTGCAGACGGAACAAGTAGAAGAGCGTGATGTTAAATCCCCTCTCCATCTATAATTTTTAATATTATTAAGATGACTACATGCCTCTTCTCAGGAAAATTAGTAACCGTGGGCCATTTAAATAATATCAGCAGATAGTAGAACTTTTTCTGATAGGGAGAATAGTGTGTGTGTTTGGCTGGCTGGTTCATTGTGGCTTCGTACACACCGTTCATTCACCTGAAGGGCTGAAGATTTGCACCAGTGTGGGATGAGCAGGGCCAGCCCTAATATTAGCTAAACTGAGGCACCTATAG